CTGGGCCGCTGCACCCATGTGTGAGACCCAGAAGAACCTCCTGGCTTCTGGCTTCCGATTAGCATAGCTCTGACTGTTGTGGTCATCTGGGGAGAGAACCAGCAGATTGAAGATCTTTCTGTCTCTCCCTCTCTGTCTATAACTCTCTCAAATAAATAAATAAAATCTTAAAAAAAAAAAACACCTACTGTCTCTAAGGACAGGATAATAAGTTTGACAGGAATAGATGGCTCCTCCTTTTGTTTGTTTTTAAGATTTATTTATTTACTTGGATGTCAGAACTACAGAGAGAGGGAGAGACAAAGAGACCCTCCATCCACTGGTGTACTTCCCAAATGGCTGCAAGGCCAGGCTGAAGCCAGGAGCTTCCTCCAGGTCTCCCATGCAAGTGGAAGGGGGCCCAGACACTTGGGCCATCCTCTGCTGCCTTTCCTAGGCCATTAGCAAGGAACTGGAGTGGAAGTGGAGCGGCCAGGACATGAACCAGTGCTCATATGGGATTCCAGTGTCGCAAACAGCAGCTTAACCTGCTAAGCCACAACACCAGCCCCTCAGTTTTTCTTTACTCAAGTGCTTCTACAAAGAACACTCTTTTATAGAAATCCTTCAGGCTAAAATTCACTGTAGCAGGTAAAGGTGTGAGCATTTTAAGGTTTTTAATATCAGTACTGACAAATTGCAAGCCAAAGAAGTTATGCTGATTTTTTAAAAGATTGATTTATTTATTTGAAAGGCAGAGTTACAGAGAGACAGAGGCAAAGAGAGAGAGGTCTTCCAACTGCTGGTTCACTCCCCAAATAGCCGCAGTGGTCAGAGCTGGGCTGATCTGAAGCCTGGTGCCTGGAGCTTTTTCCAGGTCTCTCATGTGAGTGCAGGGGCCCAAAGACTTGGACTATCTTTCCCAGGCCATAGCCAAGAGCTGGATCGGAAGTGGAAAGTCAGAGTTAGAGGGAGAGATAGAGACAGATCTTCCATCTGCTGATTCATTCCCCGAATGACTGCAAAACCAAGGCTAGGTCAGGCTGAAGCCAGGAGTCCGAGGCTAAGAGCTTCCTCTGGCTCTCCCACATAAGTGGCAGGGGCCCAAGGACTTGGGACATTTTCCACTGCTTTTTTTTTTTTTTTTTTTGACAGGCAGAGTGGACAGTGAGAGAGACAGAGAGAAAGGTCTTCCTTTTTCTGTTGGTTCACCCTCCAATGGCCACTACGGCCGGCGCACCACAGCTGGCGCACTGCATTGTTCCGAAGCCAGGAGCCAGGTGCTTCTCCTGGTCTCCCATGCAGGTGCAGGGCCCAAGTACTTGGGCCATCCTCTACTGCACTCCCGGGCCACAGCAGAGAGCTGGCCTGGAAGAGGGGCAACCGGGACAGAATCTGGCGCCCCAACCGGGACTAGAACCCGGGGTGCTGGCGCCGCAGGCGGAGGATTAGTCTATTGAGCCACGGCACCGGCCTCCACTGCTTTCTTAGTTACGTATGTTAGCAGGGAACTGGATTGTAATTGGAGCAGCCAGGACTTAAACTGGTGCTGTAATATGGGATGTCAGGCCTTGACTGACCTACTGTGCTTTTTTTAAAGATTTATTTTATTAATTTGAAAGTCAGAGTTAGAGAAAGTTGGGGGGGGGGTCTTTTATCCATGGTTCACTCCCCAAATGGCTGGAGCTGGGCTGATCCAAAGCCAGGAGCCAGGAGCTTCATCTGGGTCTCCCACTTGGGTGCAGGAGGCCAAGCACTTGAACCATCTACTGCTTTCTCAGACGTATCAGCAGGGAGCTGGGTTGGAAGTGGAGCAGCCAGGACTCAAACTGGTGCCCATATGCTGGCACTGCAGTCGACAGCTTTACCCACTACACCACAGTGTCAGCCCCCCTTCTAGGCCTTCATGGTATTTTTATATACATACATATTTACCCGTGTACAGCGATTTTGTATGTTAATATGATAGAGCAAAGTGGGGCCGGCATTGTGGCACAATGGGTTAGGCCACTGCCTTCAACTCCAGGATCACGTATTGGCGCTAGTTTGAGTCCTGGCTGCTCTGCTTCCAATCCAGCTCCCTGCTAATGTGCCTGGAAAAGCAGCAGAAGATGACTCAAGTACCTGGGCTCCTGGCTTCAGCCTGGCTCAGCCCTAGCTGTTGTGGCCAAATGGGGAGTGAACCTGCAATGGAAGATCTCTCTTTGTCACTCTGCCTTTCAAGTAAATAAAATAAGTCTTTAATAAAATAAAAATAACAATTGATAAAGCGAAGTGTTTGTTTTTTGTAACTTGATTTTTTTTTATTCAGTAGTTATGTTTGGAGCATTTTTCCCATATTATAGTAGTGCCCCCTAAATCCAGGGTGATCGAAGACCCCCAGTGGGTGCCTGAAAGTATAAATAAGATTAAATCCATTTTTTTTGCTGTTTTTTCCTATACATAAAGTCCTATGATAGAATTTAGTTCATTAAAAAAGGCAGTGTGAGAGACTAGCAAGAATAACAATAAAACAGTTATAACAATAGGCCATAATAAGAGTTAGATGAGAGTGGGCTCAAAATGTGTTAATATTATAGATATTAGCAACCTTATTAAATGAATTTTTTTCTTAAGAACTTCCAACTTTTCACTCAAAAGAACTTTGCAACCTCTCTTTGGGGGTATCATAATTACTATAGCAACCTTAGTATATGACTTTTTTTCTTGAAAACTTCCAACTTTTCACTCAAAAGAAGTACTTTACAGCTTCTCCTTGGGGTACCTGAATTACTAGCATCACCACCTCTTGTCCTTTGGGGCCATTATTAAACACAAGCCCTGTGGTACTGCCACAGTTGACCTGATGACGGATGATCTTACGACCATGACTGCTATTCAGTGACTAACGGGCAGTGTATATAACATGGGTGTGCTGGATAAAGGGATCACTTACTGTCCCAGTGGATGGCGCAAGATTTCATTGCACTACTCAGAGCAGCTTACAATTTGAAATTTATAAACTATGTGTTTCTGCACTTTCCTGTTTAATGTTTTTCAGGATACACTTCACCATGAGTGTTTGAAATTGCCCAGAGGGACTACTCTATTATATATAGGCCTATCTGTTTTTGTTTTTTTTTTTTTTAAGATTTATTTATTTATTTGAAAGAGTAACATAGAAGCAGAAAGAGAGAGAGAGAGGGGTCTTTAATTAACTGGTTCACTCCCCAATTGGCCACAACCTCTAGAACTGTGCCAATCCGAAGCCAGGAGCCAGGAGCCAGGAGCTTCTTCTGGGTCTCCCATGCGGGTGCAGGGGCCTAAGGCCATCTTCTGCTGCTTTCCCAGGCCAAAACACAGAGCTGGATCAGAAGTGAGCAGCTGGGACTTGAACCTGATAACTTTGCAGAATTGATAACAAACATGAAATTTCAGGGAGCTCAGTGAATTTAATGATTGCAAAACTGCAAAATTGCATTGATAAAAGCTGAGTAATCAGAGAGAAAAGAGGCATTAAGAATAGGCAGCTAAGGGGCCAGCATTGTGGCATAGAGAGTGAAAGCCACCACCTGCAACACCAGCATCCCATATTGGTGCCAGTTCATGTCCTGACCACTCCACTCCATTAGCTCTCTGCTAATGACCTGGGAAAAGCAACAGAAGGTGGCTCAAGTACTTGGGCTCTTGCCACCGACATGGGAGACAAGGAAGAAGCTACTGGCTCCTGGCTTCAGCCTGGTCCAGCCCCGGGTATTGTGGCCATCTGGGGAGTGAATCAGCTGATAGAAGATTAGAAGATCTCTATCTCTCTCTCTCTCTCTCCCTCTCCCTCTCCCTCCCTCCCTCTCTGACTCTCAAATAAATAATCTTGAAAAAAAGGGCAGCGAAACTGATAGCTGGGTTTTTTCGTGTGTGTGTGTGTGTGTGTGTGTGTGTGTGTGTTTTTGAGAGGTAGGCAGACAGAGAAACACTGGTTCACTCCCCTAAATGCCTGCAAACACCACAGTTGGGCAAGCAGCTGGGAGCCTGGAATTCAATCCAGGCCTCCCATGTGGGTTGCAGGAAGCCAGTTACTTGAACCATCATCACTGCCTTCCAGTATCTACAATGGCAGAAAGCTGGGCTAAGGAATTAGAGCCAGGTACTCCATGTGGTATGCAGACATCTTAACCACAAAGCAAAACATTTGCTCCTGCTAGCTGATTTCTTTTTTAGCCATAGTGCAAACCAGAAGGCAATGGAATATCTTTAATATGTTTGAAAGGAAATATATGCCTATTGAGAATGCTTTGTTTGGAGGCTGGCATTGTGGCGCAGCCGGTTAAGCCGCCACCTGTGATGCCAGGATCCCTGTATCAGTGCTGGTTCAAGTCCTGACCATTTCACTTCCTGTCCAGCTCTTTGCTAATGCTCCTGTGGAAGGTTGGCCCCAGTGCTTGGGCCTCTGCCCCAGATGTGGAAACCAGGATGAACTCCTGGCTTCAGCCTGTCTCAGTCCTTGTGGCCATTTGGGGAGTGAACCAGTGGATGGAATATGGATCTCTTTTTTTCTCTCTTTAATTCTGCTTTTAAAATAAATAAATGTTTAAAAAAATAAGAATGCTGTATAGCACAAGATTAGAGGTTAAAAATACTTCAGAGAAACCACAGCTATATTGAATTTACTTTTAACATTCTAGGGACCAGTGTTTGGTGCAGTAGTTAATATGCCGCTTAGGGATGTCTGTAACCCATTGGAGTGCCTGTGTTCAAGTCGCGGCTCTACTGCTGTTATATGCACAACCTGGGAGGCAGCAGATGATGGTTCAAGTAGCTGGGTCCCAGCCACCCATGTGGCAGATCCAGATTGAATTCTTGGCTCCTGGTGTGGTCCTGGATCAGCCCCAGCTGTTGGTGGGTGTTTGGGGAGTAAAGCAGCACATTGTGATCTCTTGTCTGTATCTTTATGTCTGTCTATGTTGTCTGCCTCTTCTTGTCTGTCTCCCTCCACCTTTCAGATAAATCAAGGAAGATAAATATTTTTTAAGTCTGAATATTTTTCTTCAGGCAAAAGGAAAATGACTCCAGAAGAAAGTTGTGCCTACACAAAAGAATGATGATCAGAGACCATGGTCAACATTTATGTAAATTTAAGTAAATACTGACTGCTATAAATGACAGTATTTCTCAGTTTTGATATTGACCCATATTCTTTCATTCTAAAAGTCACATTTTTGTATATTTCAACTACTATGAAAATAGAGTTCATACAATATTTGGTTTAATAAACAGCAGTGTTATCTATGTGATAAATTAGGATGCCATCTTTATAATTTTGAGTGTGTTAAACAAGTACTTTGCCTAGTATCAGTGTCCTTTGTTCTATATCTATTTGAGTTGTTCTCATTTCTTTTCTTTTACAAATAATGTTAATATGTGGAAATATGAGTTGTGCCATTTTATATAGTCTCCTGTAAGGGCTGTTTGCCAATTTTAAGTCTGAGGATTATTTATTATTATTTTGTTGCAGTTTCATTTTATTCGCTATCATCTATTTCTTGTGGTTTTATCTGTTTGGAGCTAATTTTCTATGATACAGTTTACATTTAACTTTTACCTCTACTTTGCAATTATTTTCAAGGAATGTATTGGTGGTTTGTGTAGTAAAATTTTGGAAGTGAGATTATAGTAACCACTTTAAACTAGAATACTGGGGCCAGCTTTGTGACATAGTGGGTTAAATCACCACCTGCATCCCATAGGAGGGCTGGTTTGAGTCCTGGCTGCACCACTTCCTATCTAGCTATCAGCTAATACACCTAGGAAAGCAATGAAGATGGCCCAAGTGCCTGGACCCCTGTACTCACATGGAAGACCCAGATGGATTTCTAGGCTCCTGGCTTTGGCCTGCCTGAATGTTGCAGCCATTCGGCAATTGAACCAGCTGATGGAAAATCTCCCTCTATCTCTGTAACACCACCCTTGAGATGAAAAAAACAGAAAGAGAGGCAGAGAGAGAGGTCTTCCATCCACTGGTTTGACCACTGTTTCACTCCCCATTGGCCAAAGCCAGGAGCCAGGAGCTTCTTTTGGGTCTCCCACGTTGGTGCAGGGACCCAAGACATGGGCTGTCTTCTACTGCTTTCCCGGACCATAGCAGAGAGCTGGATCGGAAGTGGAGCAGCTGGGACTCAAACTGGCGCCCATATGGGATGCCAGTACTGCAGGTGGCAGCTTTATTCACTATGCCACCTTGCCAGCCTTGTGAATCTTTTTTTTTAACATGCTTTATGAAAGGATATGAAGCATTTCTACTGAATCTTAACTGTTTAATAAGAATTAATAAATGAGGAATTCTTACCCCAATTTACAATGAGAAAATTGAAGCTTAGATTTGTTAAACTTCCCAAGATCATACATGATCTCAAGTTCACGTTAGAGCTCTGTTTTCAATTCAAGTGGGGTTCTAAAGCTTCAGTCACTATGTTTAGATAATAATTGCTTGTGGTGAACTACTTTGAAATACCTTTTTTGCTTTTCTTACAGCTACATACCACTCTTCATAGTTAGGGGTACTTCTTATAAGTTTGTGTGGCGCTTTCGTTCTGTCCTTTCCAGGTATAGCTCTTATTCCTTCAGTTTTTTATATTGTATTCTTTGATTGTATTTATCAAGATTCAGAAGTCTGATATCTCTGAGAGATGTACTCTTTTTGTCTGCTGTCTTCTTGTCTGGAGGCATATTGGATACTGAGAATTGAGGAGAGAAAGAGAGTAGAAATGTAAATGTAGATCTTCTATTAAAAGGACTTAATATCAAATTAAATACTGGGCACATAGCAGGAGAGCTGGGCTATAACAAGATCCTCATAGTTCTGTTCCACTACCAGTCAGAAACTATGCTGAAGGTAGTCATTTGATCTACTGGTTGAGACACTGTGTCTCATTTCGTGTGACTGGGCTTGATTCTCAGCTCCAGCTTCTGACTTCTTGCAGAAGCAGACCCTCAGAGCAGCAAATGATGGTTCAAATGATTGGGTCCTTGCCACCCACATGGAAGACCTGGAGCTCCTGGCCTTGGCCTTGCCCAGGCCTGCCATTGCAGGCATTTGGGGTGTAAGCCAGCAGGTGAGAGCTCTGTTCTGTCTGCCCGTGTCTCTCAAATTAAAAGGAAAGAAAAGGAAATTATTCTGTACCTAAATTCCCAAATCATAATCACCGATTAACTCAGCTCAGTGGCCCACCAAAAGCACAGTGGTAGGAGAGTACTGTTCTGATGCAGACAGGCAGGGGATGTATTATCTGTAGAGAATTGTAAAACTGACCAAAAAAATATGCTTTTTGTTGTCAGACACCTAGAAATTCTAAACTGCGACATTAATAAAGTACACCTTACTGTCACTGCCATTTCAAGGCACAACTTTTGATCCAAAAATAGGAATAGACCTAGAAAAGGCATTGTATCTAGTCTTTTCTTTTTCCAGACTGCATCTCAAGATCTTTCTTTCCAGTTTATAAAAGGAAGCAATGAAAAAGAAATATGGCAAGCAATAGAGTATAATTAAAGAATATTATTTCATTGGCTCATAAATATGTTACTTGTGTGGTGTAGAAATGCATTCAAAGAAACTCAAGTGAAGAAATCAGAAGAGTGCAGGGGGATTCCAGGGACAGAACTGCAAGTAAGTAGAATTAGGCATCCTGGAAGCTGAAGCTTTAAGACAGCAGCTTAGTGTGGGACCTCCGCAGATCTGTCCACTCAAAAGTTGTGCCTTAGTTGGACATATTCTGCTGTTGGTAATACCTTAAAAGCTGATGTTTGTTTTGTTTTTAACCATGACAGTCATTATTAAGAACCCCTGCAGGTAGGAGAGGTTTTTTTGGTTTTGTTTTTTTGTTTTTTTGTTTTTTTTAACAGGCAGAGTTAGACAGTGAGAGAGAGAGACAGAAAGAAAGGTCTTTCTTCTGTTGGTTCACTCCCAAATGGCCGCCATGGCCAGTGCGCTGTACCAATCCGAAGCCAGGAGCCAGGTGCTTCCTCCTGGTCTCCCATGCAGATGCAGGGGCCCAAGCACTTGGGCCATCCTCCACTGCCTTCCTGGACCACAACAGAGAGCTAAACTGGAAGAAGAGCAACCAGGACAGAATCTGACGCCCCAACTGGGACTAGAACCCAGGGCACTGGCACTGCAGGCGGAGGATTAGCCAAGTGAGCCGCGGCACTGGCCTGTTTGTTTTTTTAAGATTTATTTATTTTAAAGGCAGAGTTACAGAGAGGCAGAGGCAGAGAGAGATCTTCCATCTACTAGTTCACCCCCCAAATGGCTGTAATGGCCAGAGCTGAGCTGATTCAAGCCAGGAGCCAGGAGCTTCTTCTGGGTCTCCCATGTGGTGCAGGAGCCCAAGTACTTGGGCCGTGTTCTACTGCCTCCTAGGCCATAGCAGAGAGCTGGGTCAGAAGTAGAGCAGCCAGGTCTTGAACTGGTGCCCATATAGGATGCCAGGACTGCAGGTGGTGGCGTTACCCGCTATGCCATTATAAAATCCCTAACCCCTGCAGGTAGGGATTTTATAATGAACTCCTGATACATGGTGTAATGTGCTAGCTCTCTTTCATGAAAGCTGAATTCCTGGTGCCTTAATCTTGATTAAGTTCATTCTCTGCCCTTTGAGCCCACCCTTGGGAGCCTATCATCTATTGGTAGTGGTAGGGGCCTACCACTGAGAAGGGAGTAGAATAACTTTTTGAGAAGAGGGTGAAATGTTTACTGGATTATTAATGTCCTTGAGAAGGATGAGACCCTGTTGGTTTGGATAAGGTGAGAGGAGTGTATTTGTGCATCTCACCGTCTCTTCCTTGCTCTGTCTCTACCTTTTCACACTCTTAGCCCTGTTCTGTTCTCATGCTCAGTTTCTGCTTCTCACCTCTGTGTTTGTGGTTAGATAAGCCATGTAAAAGATCAGTTTAAATGTTGGTATCTCAGTTTGATTATTGTGTTGTACACACTTGAGGATGTCTACCTTGAGAAGAGAGGGAAGAGAGCATTCCAAAATAAGGCAGATGCTGTGATACAATTCAAACTCAAATGTGTGACACAGCTTGGATGACAATAAAGATGAGGTACTCTGGAAAATTACACTACAGATAAACTCAGAAATTTGCTATAGATACACAAACACTAATGCCTCAAAGATATGTGAACAGTTTGAATTTTACGACATTTACAAATGGGTTGGGGTAGAACAGTATTACCATTTTAGAAGTAATTTATAGGGCTTTGCGTTGTTTGTAAAATAGATGGCTAAATTTTATATGGACATTTCAAATTCATTACTTTAAAAGTTCTATATTTTGAAACTGACCAATAATTTTAATGTTAACTGATTTCATTTTATTTAATATAATTATTGGAAAGTATTTCACTTTTAAGTAATGTAGAAGCCCTTTGTCTAAATTTGCATTTCTTTTAATGCACTTTTAAATTTTACAAATAGAATCTTTGGTTATTTAGCAGGTAACATCTAAAGGAACTGGTTTAAATCCCAACGCCAAAGTATGGCAAGAAATTCCTCCTGGAAATCCTGATGCCACTCCTGTAACTCATGGAACGGAAAGTTCTTGGCCTGATACAGCAGCCACATCAGGGTCCCCTCCTGAAGGTAAGTGCGAAGTGTTTTATCAGAAATATCACATTTTGTTTAAATGTGTAATCAAACCAGTTTGTAGAACTTGGACTTACATTCTTTGATTATGTGACTAAATACACTTATAAATGTTTAGTACACAGTTTACATGTAATTCTCACTCATCTAATATGAACGGATTGTCAGTAATTCCAAGTAGCAGCTGTATTGTTAAACCTAGCTTCTAACCCATTTATAATAACCTATTTATAAATCAGTTTTGCTCTAACATCATTGGCTTTGCTGTTTACTTACTGTTTGACCTTTATCAAATGACATGACTTCTCTGTGCTATTTCCTTCACCTGGAAAACAAAAACTATTACAATTACCTGTAGCAGGGGTAGGGAACCTTTTTTCTGCCAAGGGCCAATTGGATATTTGTAACATTACTCATGGACCATATAAAATTATCAACTTAAAAATTAGCCTACTAGGGCCAGCGCTGTGGCATAGTAGACTAAGCCTTTGCCTGCAGCACCAGCATCCATATGGATGCCAGTTTGTGTCTTGCTGCTCCTCTTCTGATCCAGCTCTTGCTTATGGCCTGGGAAATCAGTAGAAGATGGCCCCCACATGGAGACTTGGAAGAAGCTCCTGGCTCCGGATTGGACCAGCTCCGGCCTTTGCGGCCATCTGGGGAGTGAACCAGTGGATGGAAGACCTTTCCCTCTATCTCTCCCTCTCTGTGTCTGTAATTCTACCTCTCAAATAAATAAAATCTTTTTTTTTTTTTTTTAATTAGCCTACTACAGATTTGTTGAATTTCAAGTCCTACCTGCAGTTGCCAGACCAAATGATGTTATGGGGTTTTTATGGTTCCCAAGTCACATTCCCCATCCCTGACCTACATAGCATAGGATTTTCTGAGAACTAAATAAAGTTCATGGAGCCATGTGACTTATAGATAGTACTGTATAAATTTTAGTAACTGCTTATCCATAATAATAAAAACTGTCTGCCTTGGGGAAATGACTCTTAAAACCACATGAGCATTTTCCCAACTGATAGAATTCCTAGAAATCTTGTCAGGGAAGACATAGACTGCCCAGAGTTTCTGAAATTGTGACATAAAGAATTTCTAAATACTTTTGGTGTTTTGTCTCTAATACAGGAAATACAGAGCTTTCAGAAGATATGTGTAAGGAATATGAAGTAATGTATTCTTCATCTTGTGAAACCACAAGGAATTCTACAGGCATTGAAGAGTCCACTGATGGAATAATTTTAGGACCAGAAGATCTGAGTTACCAAATATATGATGTTTCTGGTAAACTTTATGATTTATTGATGGAAAGATGCAGTATACTAGCCTGTACTCCCTCCCATTCACATAGTGTGTTGTCCTTGCTCTGACAGACTTGAGGCAGTGTTTTCTTATTTGAAAAGAGGCTTATGTTAATGAAATGTAAGACTGTTAAAAAAAAAATACTGTTTCTAATGCCAAAACATGAAATTTGTAATTAAAGAGAATATATAGTTTTTAAAGGGTCTAGACAACTATTTGCAGTTTAAACATTTAACCAGTATAAGGGGCCGGTGCTGTGGCTCACTTGGTTAATACTCCGCCTGTGGCGCCGACATCCCATGTGAGCACCGGGTTCTAGTCCTGGTTGCTCCTCTTTCAGTCCAGCTTTCTGCTGTGGCCAGGGAGGGCAGTGGAGGATGGCCCAAGTGCTTGTCCCCTGTACCAGCATGGGACACCAGGAGAAGCACCTGGCTCCTGGCTTCGGATCGGCGCAGAGTTACAGAGGGAGAGGTAGAGACAGAGAGAAACAAATCTTTTGTCCACTGGCTCACTACCCAAATGGCCATGACTGCTGAGGCTGGGCCAGGACAAAGCCAGGAGACAGGAACTCTATCATAGCCTCTGATGTGGGTGGCAGGAACCTAGGTATTTGAGCCATACTTAGGTCCTTTCCCAGGCATGGTAGCAGGTAGCTGGATTGAGAGCAGAGCAGCTAGGAATCAAACCAGTGCTCAGATTATATTCAGTTTGTTGTTTTTTTAAGATATGTTTTATTTATTTGAAAGGACAGAGATCTTTAGTCTGTTGGTTCATTCCCAAGATGGCCACAATGGCTGGGGCTGGGCCAGGCTGAAACCATTAGCCTGAGACTCCATCTGGATCTCCCATGCTGGTGCAGGGGCCCAAAGATTTGAGCCATCTTCTGCTGCTTTTCTAGGTGCATTAGCAGGTAGCCAGTTCAGGAGCAGAGCTCATGGAGTGCAATCCAGTGCTCCAGTGTGGGTTGCCGGCATTGGAGGAGGTGATTTAACCCACTGCGCCATAATACCAGCCCCTATATTCATTTTTAATGAAGTTAGCATTTATTACTTTGATTCTTGAGTAGTAACACATGTTAGTAATTAAAATCTCAGACTATTTAGTTTCTTAATATATCCAGTTGTCTGTATTTATAGGAAACATGGCCTCTATTATTAATACTTTTTTTTTTTTAAGATTTTATTTAATTATTTGAAGGGTAAAGTTACAGACAGTGAGAGGGAGAGACAGAGAGAAAGGTCTTCTGTCCCCTGGTTCACTCCCCAAATGCCCGCAACGGCCGGAGCTGCACCGATCTGGAGCCAGGAGCCAGGAGCTTCTTCTGGTCTCCCACATGGGTGCAGGGGCCCAAGGACTGGAGCCATTATTTACTGCTTTCCCAGGCCATAGCAGAGAGCTAGAAGAGGAGCAGCTGGGACTAGAACTGGCACCCATATGAGATGCCAGCACTGCAGGCGGAGGATTAACCTACTGCGCTACAGCTCCAGCCCCTATTAATGCTTTTTTAAGGAAGGACATATTATGTGTTCTTTGTCTGTAATGGCTTATAAAACAGTCTAATGGGAGTGATGGTTTCCCAGGCTTATATCCTGAAAAAGAAAAGGCTCATGTTTTGTGTTAAAACATTGGAAAGCATAGAAAGCTTCTAGAGAGTTAGCTAAGGCCTTTAGATCTTTGAATGCTTTAAGTATACAGCAGAAGGTCTAGTATTCTAGAATTAAGGAAGGTAGAAAACAAAAGTATTAAGAGAGAGAAGTTGGAATCTGACTAGCATCAGATTAACCACCATAAGAGATTTGTATAATATAAATATCTCACTTGTTTTAGCTAGTTCCTGGCTTCAAATTTAAATTATTACTGCAGCGCCGGCGTCATGGTGGACTAGGTTAATCCTCCGCCTGCAGTACCGGCATCCCATATGGGCACCAGGTTCTAGTCCCAGTTGCTCCTCTTACAGTCCAGCTCTCTGCTGTGACCAGGGAGGGCAGTGGAGGATGGCCCAAGTGCTTGGGCCCCTGCCACCCGCATGGGAGACCGGGAGGAAGTACCTGCCTCCTGGCTTCGGATCAGCTCAGCGCCAGCTCAGTGCCAGCCGTAGTAGCCATTTGGGGGGTGAACCAATGGAAGGAAGACCTTTCTGTCTGTCTCTCTCTCTCGCTGTCTATAACTCTACCTGTCAAATAAATACATAGAAAAAATTTTTAAATAAATTATTACTGCTGTTGTTCTTTGGCATTTTATTAAAGGAATTAGCTGCTAATCACACTTTTTATAAAATGTTCAGGGCAATATTTTACAACATGGTAGCCAGATGTTTTTAGCATTAATAGTACTTTGTGAATTTCTTGATAAAACAATTTTTATCATGAAGTCTATTTGAAAAAATAAGTTGATAGAAATTAGATATTGAGCTATCTGAACAGTAGAAATAATAGAAATATATATGTGGTAAATTTTAAATTGTGAATATTTGTGGTTTCTGAGTATAATAGTATGTAAGGTTTACTACGTAGGCTAACTCGGTATTAACTTTTCCCCCTTTTGTTTTCTACCATCAGAGGAAGGCAATTCAGCAATTTCCACAGAAGAGCTAAAAGAATGTCTGAGGAAACAATTAGAATTCTGTTTCTCACGGTACATAATCATTTTTTGATTGATATCTCTGCATTTTTGAGTTGTTTGGTTATAGGATGTAAAATATCTGTCAGTCAGTGGAAGAAGATAGTGATTATCACTTCCTTTCAGTGATATGCTTTTGGTGTCATTCTAGTGCATCTTAACTAGACTTGAAGATATGGTCTGCATGAAGGAACCATTCCCGGAGAGATAATGAAGTTCCTGTGGGATTCTTTTCCTATGAATGCATTTAGCATTGGAGTTCTTAAAAGAAAGCTTTTTTAAAATTTTTTATTTTTCATAAGTGACTCACATAACCTTTGATCATAGAGTTATTTTTAACCACATGTTAAGGAGATAGGCAGAGAACATATATTATACCATTGTCTTGTATTAAATAAGGAGTCCTTTCAGGAAAATGTTTTTAAGATGTCTTACAGATATGACTTATGTAGGTATATTTATAACTTATACTTTATAAAATTCCAATTTGCTGCTTCTAGAGAAAACATAAATTTGGATATATATGCAAATGCTTTCCATTTTTCTAATCTCTCTGGTACATGGTATAACCAGTGAATAAAACTTTTCAAGCTAGAAATGTGGATTTTACCAGAGACACATCTCAATACACAAACTGCACACTTGTTTCAGGTTTAGTTGATGCCTCATCCTAAACATCTCTCATCTTTCCCCTCCTGGTTTCCTTTTCTATAATCATTGGGCCTGTGATACGTTTCATTTTCTTTAACACACTTGTAATAGTGACTTTAAAATCCTTACGGACTAACAAGATTGTTTTTGGGTCTGCTTGTCTTGGTCAGGATGTTTTCTCTTGTCTATCAATTTCCTGCCTTTTAACATGTCTTGTAAATTTTGATTGTATGCTGAATATACAAATAAAAGAATTACAGAAGCTGCAGGTGACGTAATTTTTCCCTCTCAACAGGATTTGAGCTTTCTTCTGTTAGGCAGATGGAAAGAAATGTTGACTGCTTCAGTCTGTTCAAGAATTGAACTGGGTCAGACCTGAGCAGCTTCTCTTTTAGATTAATTGATTTTTATTTATTTGAAAAATGGACACAAAGAGCTCCATCTTCTGGTTTACTTCCCAAATCGTACAAACCAAGGCCAGAGGGAAGCCCAGGGGCCAGCAATTCAATGCAAATCTGCCATGTGGCTAGCAGGATCCCAGTTACTTGAGGCATCACCACTGCCTTCCAAGGACTGCATTAACAGGAAGCTGGAGTCAGGACCTGGAGCTGGGATCTAACCCAGGTACTCTTATGTGGGAGGCAGTTGTCTTTACTGCTAGGCTAAAAACTTGCTTCCTCTGAGAAACCATTTTCATGAGACTCAGTCCATCCCAGATTTATCTGTTCTTTAAGAGTGGCCCTCTCTGGCAGTTTTTCTGTTTTTACTTTTTTAAGTTTCATTTATTTGAAAGGCAGAGTGACCACCAAGTGCCTGCAGGAGAGGACTAGACCAGGCCGAAGCTGAGAGCCCAGATTGGCCACCATGGGTTGCAGGGACCCAGTTACTTGGGTGTCCCAGATACATTAGCAGAAAGCTGGAATGGGAATCACAGAGGAGAGAATTTGGACCCACACACTCCAGTATAGGATGCAGGTATCCCACACAGTGCCTTATCCTACTGTGCTGGAACACCTGTCTGAACATGTTTTTTTTTTTTTTTTTAAATTATTTATTTTCAGTGTCTTTATTTATTTCAGAGACAAAAATCTTCCATCAACTGATTTTCTCCAAGTGCCCACAAAACCCAGGACCTGGCCAGGCCAAGGCCAGGAGCTCAGAACTTCATCTGAGTCTTCATTGTGGGTGGCAGGGACCTAAATACTTAAGCCATCATCTGCAGCCTCCCACGGTACACAATAGCAGGAAGCTGGATCGAAAGTCTAAGAGTCAGAACTTGAACCAGGCACTCTAATATGGGATGCCAGTATCTCAAGCAACATCTTTACCACCACATCCAGTGCTTAGCTCCTTCTCAGGCTTTTGCTGTAGAGCTTGGTAGTTTTCTGTCTGTTTAATTCCAATATGCCAAGGAAATTTAAACCAATTCTTCAGGGGTTTAAGATTACCTCTTTAGTCCCTCACCCCATACAGTTTCACAATCTAGCCCGTATCTTCCAGGAGAGACTTGTATTTGCTGCAGGGTTACTCCTTTCTCAGGGACTTAATCCCAACAACACACAGATTTCACCCTGCCTTTTCCTTCTTTCTTAGTTTCCAATCTTCCTCCTAGAATTTAGGAAATTTGTGGGGAAATCAGCTGTGTGTTGGGGATTCCTGTGGTTTTTAACTGAAGTGCTAGTCCTGTGCCCAGCACACACATATGCCACGTACTTACACCCACCTAAAGGTCTGCTGGTTTCCCAAGACCTTACAGGAAGCAAACGTTATCTCCAGCATTTCAGTCAATTTTGTCCTTGAAGTTTTCAAGTCTCCTCCATTTCCAAAAATGGGATTTTTATGATCTATCCATGCACTTTGAATTGTTGTGGTAGAGGCTCTTGCTGATCATGATCCATAACATCCAACCTCCAAGTACAGTAGAGTTCTAATTGGCATTTGTACCTCATCTAGATTGCTGCCAACACATACCAGGTATTTCTCATGAATAGGCAAGTCTTGGATGTTTTACTTGTTCATTCCATTTACTCTGACGAGATACAGTTTCTTTAGTTAAGAGTTCTGACATACTGTTTTGTCAGAGTAGACCTGCTGAACATCAAGGTTGATTTAGTTTGCAACTTTTTAATTGTATAAAGATCATGTTTATAGTTGTCTGATTCTCAAGTTGTTAAGGAATATTGATTAAACTAGTTTTAGTATTTCTTCATATTGAAGTTTTTTTTGTTTTTTGTTTTTTGTTTTTTGTTTTTTTGACAGGCAGAGTGGATAGTGAGAGAGAGAGACAGAAAGGTCTTCCTTTTGCCATTGGTTCACCCTCCAATGGCTGCCACGGCTGGCGTGCTGCGGCCAGCGCACCGCGCTGATCCGAAGGCAGGAGCCAGGTGCTTTTGCTGGTCTCCCATGGGGTGCAGGGCCCAAGCACTTGGGCCATCCTCCACTGCACTCCTGGGCCACAGCAGAGAGCTGGCCTGGAAGAGGGGCAACTGAGACAGAATCCGGTGCCCAGACCGGGACTAGAACCCAGTGTGCCGGCGCCGCTAGGTGGAGGATTAGCCTATTGAGCCGCGGTGCCGGCCTCTTCATATTGAAGTTTACTTGTTACTGTTATCTTATATCTGTCCTGTCCCATCCCCAGCAAAACAAGGAGCTACCACTGGTGGTAATTCTTAATCTATAAAAAAGAGTTACTACTCTATTTCAGTAGAAATTGTATATAAAGGTATTTGAGCCTACTGTCTGCCAAGCACTTAGGCTAGTGAAACACATTCCTGAATGACAAAGATCCATTATGGAACTTCTGTTTATGCTGAGAAACAAAGTCAAAAGCTAGTAAAACAAAAGATTTACAAGTATGGTTGTATGGAAGAAAATTAATGAGAAGAGTATATGTATGCAAGAGCAGGAGAATACATTGCAGGTGTTTTTTTGTTTGTTTTTGTTTTTGTTTTTTGACAGAGAGAGACAGAGATTGGTCTTTCTTCCGTTGGTTCACCCCCCAAATAGCTGTCATGGCCGGCGCACTGCGCTGATCTGAAGCCAAGAGCCAGGTGCTTCCTCCTGGTCTCCCATGCGGGTGCAGGGGCCCAAGCACTTGGGCCATCCTCCACTGCACTCCCGGGCCACAGCAGAGAGCTGAACTGGAAGAGGAGCAACTGGGACAGAATCCGGTGCCCCAACCAGGACTAGAACCTGGGGTGCTGGCGCCGCAGGCGGAGGATTAGCCGGCCCATCGCAGTTTTAAATAGGGCGATTAGGTCATACCTCCTTGAGAAAGAGGGCTGTGCCTCCCCCATCATTTTTATTTTTATTTTTAGACAGAGTTACACGGGTAGAGAGAGGAGAGGTCTTCCATCCGCTGGTTCACTCCCCAAATGACCACAAAGGCCAGAGCAGACCAATCCAGAGCCAGGAGCCAGGAGCTTCTTCCATGTCTCCTACTTGGGTGCAGGGACCCAGGGACTTGAGCCATCCTTCGCTGCTTTCCCAGGTGCATTAGCAGGGAGCTGGATTCTAAGTGGAACAGCCAGACTCAAACTAGCGCCCATATGGGATACCAGCACTGCAGGCTGGGGCTTTAACCACACCACAGTGCTGGTGCTTTTGGCTTATTCCCAAATGTACATAATTTATGGAGGGTGTTGGTAATTCAGTCCAGGTCTCCCACATGAGAGCCAGGAACCCAACTTCTTGAGCTGTTACCTGCCAAGTACCTGGGTAACAGCTGGTACCTGGAATCAGGAGTCAAAGCTGGTATTGATGGGGTCATAGGCTACCATCTAGCAGCTTAACCACTAGGCCAAACAGCCACCCCAAGAAGGAGGCTTTTAAGCAAAGACTTTTATTTATTTTTATTTATTTATTTTTATTTTTGACAGGCAGAGTGGACAGTGAGAGAGAGAAAGGTCTTCCTTTTCCGTTGGTTCACCCCCCAGTGGCCGCTGCGGGGCCAGGGTGCCAGCGCCACAGGTGGAGGATTAGCCTAGTGAGCCACGGCGCCGGCCTTAAGCAAAGACTTTTATTTAGCCAGTTTACTTTCAGAAATATTTGTTGTGACTAACAAGACATGGATTTTAGTTTACTTTAGCTTGTTAAACAATCTGTTATGTGTATGATGGTAGTGTATGTACCTTTGTTTAATATACCTTAGAGAATTTTGTCTTTATTTTAAATAAATATTTTAAATTATAAAAATCAAAATGTTTATTAAAAATGCAAACACTTTTAAATTAAAAATCCTCCATGATCTCACTAAAAATTAAGCTATACTTTTTCACTTATGAATATTCTAGCATCAGAAGCAACGTGTAGTAAAATATTATTTAATATTAAACTTCTTTCCATGCAGTATAATTCCATAAAATCTGTTGTCTAAAACTATTGGACCAGACACATTTTGGGATTCATAAACTATGTAAAAGTCGTTACTGATAAATATTGTGTTGCCATCTTTTAAACTGAACTCTTCTAAGTTCATTGTGTTATTTCTGATCACATAATTTTGTTTTCCTAGACTTAGTGATAAAATTAAGACACTAGTTTGCTTAAGGAGCTTTTTATAAGAATTGCTTGTTTTATAAGACTTCCTTTTTTTTTTTTATTCCTTTCAGAGAAAATTTGTCAAAGGATCTTTACTTGATATCTCAGATGGATAGTGATCAATTTGTCCCAATTTGGACTGTTGCCAACATGGAAGAAATAAAAAAGCTGACCACAGACCCAGATTTAATTCTTGAAGTATTGAGAGGTATGTAAAAAATACTTTTCACCTTGGTTTTTTAATTTTAAAACTTATAAGTGTTTTTTTTGATTTCTGATAATGCAAGAAACTGTTTTTAACTGGCATTTTTTATGCTTTTTTGGCTATTTTATTCCAATAATTTATTTTTATTGTTTGTGTGTGCAGTTTCTATAAGAATTTTACACCTTGGTTGTAAAATTTTACACCTTGGTTGATATCCACTTAGCAAGTAAAAGCAATTTAATATCGCTCTTTCTGTCTATCTATATCTTATCTATTTATTTATTTTTCATCATTTTATTTGAAAGGCAGCAATAGACAGAGACAAAGAAAGATCCTCAGTCCACTGATTCAGTCCCCAAATACCCTCTCACAAGGGTAATAGAGACCAAAACACTCGAACCCTTTATCAGCTGCCACACAAGGTGTTCATTAGCAAGAAGCTGATCAAAGAGAGATGCAGAAATCGATTCAAGGCACTCTGGTATGGGATGTAGGCATCTCAAATGGAGTCATAATTGCTGTGCCAAATGCCTACCTCCTATTTCAAATTTTTGAAAACAAATTAACAGATACATTTTACATCGTAGTCCAATATCCACCACTTATACTTAAAACAGAAATGTCACTTTTTCAAGTTAATACCAATGTTTGCAATGGTCTACTTTTCTTTTATCCTAAGCTAATTTCACAACCTACTAATGAGTGTGGCCTGCAGTTTGACAAACACCACTCTGAAGCTTGGTAAAGAATTTTTACTTCTTGGGGTAGGCCTTATGGCACAACGGGGTAAGCCGCCTCTTGGAACACACACGAGCCATGTCTCAGTATCAGTGAGTCCTGGCTACTGCACTTCTGATCCAGCTTCCTGCTGAAAATGTTTAAAGAGAATTGCAGGGACCGGTTTTATGACATAACAAATTATACCTCCACCTGTGATGCTGGCATCCCATATCAGAGCTCCTGTTCTAGTTCTGGCTGCTCCACTTCTGACCCATCACCCTGCTAATGCAACTGGGAAAGGAGCGGAAGATGACTCAAGTCCTTTAGCCCTTGCCACCCACGTGGGAGACCAGCATGGAGTTCTAGAATCCTTGCTTTGGTCTGGCCTAGCCTCTGTTTCAACCATATGGGGATGAACAAGTGGATGGAAAATCTCTCCCTCCATCTCTCTGTCACTCTCTTTCAAATAAATATAATAAACCTTTAAAAATGAGTTGCAAGTTGCAAGTCAAGCCTTCAGTCTTACTTGCCTTTTTTTTTTTTTTATACCTGCTTAAGGAGGTAGGGCATATTATCTTTCTGAAGGAATTAAAAAAGAAATCGTTTGGCTACGTTTTGCCATCTTTATTCCCTACAATGAATGTCTAGAAGATGGCTTCCAGGTCGCTGGAGTAGTATGTTATATTAAATACATTGATATCAGTGATAATATAACTTAAAATCGTTTGAGTGTAGTTCTTGAATTAAGGGCTTCTTAAACTTTAAGAAACTCTTCACATATGGGAGCTCATTACATTTCCCAGAATACTGTTTGACTAATGCAAGTACACTGATTTCTGTAATAATATTTGTTACCTCTTGTTAAATGACGAATTTTGTTATTGCACACAGATAAGGCTTCTTGTTGATGTCAACATAGTGCCGTAGTACTAAGTAGGTGCTGTGAATATTTGTTCGGTTACTATTTGACAGTTTTCTTACATACCAACCCAAAAGCATGTTTTCTCATAATTGTGGTCTGCTACATATTAAGCTAGCATATACTAATTTAATCCATTGAAAATTGAAATGAATAGTTATTTAATGACATTGTTAATGTTGCTACTTGTCACTATTTTTTTTTTAACAAAAATTTTTCAGCTTCTCCCATGGTTCAAGTTGATGAGAAGGGCGAGAAAGTGAGACCAAGTCATAAGCGCTGTATTGTGATCCTCAGAGAGATTCCTGAAACAACACCAGTAGAGGTAAGTCATTAATCATCACTAAAGCTGGTTTGTATTCTTAATTCTGAAGTATTAGAATGGTACAGAAGACTAATGAAGTGAAATTAATTCTGCTGGTTAGCTGTAGTCAGAATGATGAGCTGGAACAGATACATAAATAAAATAATATTTGAATGAAGCAGTATAGTCTGTGGGATCAGCACTGTGGCATAGTGGCCTAAGCCTCTGCCTATGGTGCTGGCATCCCCTTTGGGCTCTGGTTTGAGTCCCAGCTGCTCCTCTTATGATCCAGCTCTGCTAAGACCTGGGAATGCAGCAGAAGATGGCCCAATTGTGTTGGTCCCAGCACCTGTGTGGGAGACCTGGAGAAAGCTCCTGGCTTTGGTTAGGCCCAGCTCTGGCTGTTGCCGCCATTTGTAGAGTGAACCAGCAAATGGCAAACCTTTCTGTCAGTCTCAGTCTCTCTGTAATCCTACCTATCAAATATATAAATAAATAAATCTTTTTAAAAAAAGGCAGCAGTATAGTTCAGAAATACTCATATAATATATATATAATACTGAGTTAATAATTAGATTCTATTAAGTATTATGTCCTTTACAGTTCTGTAAAGTCAGAAATTTTATTATATGTTTTACAAGTACAGTAACTGAGTGTTAGGATAGTTATGTGATTTAATTTGCCCTAGGGTATATGGACTATTAAGCCTGGATTTAAAGTTGATTTATCTGATTTTAAAACCCATGTGGTTTTTGTTTGTTTGTTTGTTTTTTAAGATTTATTTTATTTATTTGAAAGGCAGAGTTAAAGAGAGGAAGATACAGAGAGAAATCTCCCAACTGCTGGTTCACTCCCCAAATGGTTGCAATGGCCAGAGCTGGGCCAAAGCAAAGCCAGGAGCCATGAGCTTCTTCAAGGTCTCCCAAATGGGTCAGAGGCCCAAGAACTTGGGCCATCCTCCACTGTCTTCCCAGGTGAATCAGCAGGGAGCTACATCAGAAGTAGAGCAGTCAGGACTTGAACTGGTGTCCATATGGAATGTTGGCATTACCGGCAGTAACTTTACCTACAACACCGGCCCCAAGCCCTTGTTTCATTTTCTTTTTTGCTTTCAATAAGATTATTTGTTTATTTGTGAGGCAGAGTTACAGAAAGAGAGGAAGAGACAGAGAGAAAGGTCTTCCATCCACTGGTTTACTACCCAAATGGCCATAACGACCGGAGCTGGGCTGATCCAAAGCCAAGAGCCCGCAATCAAGAGCCTCTTCTGGGTCTCCCACATTGGTGCAGGGGCCCAGGCACTTGGGCCACCTTCCACTGCTTTCCCAGACCATAAGCAGAGAGCTGGATCAGAAGAGGAGCATCTGGGGACACAAACTGGCACCCATATGAGATACCAGTGCTGCAAGGGGAGGCTTAGCCTACTACACCACAGCACCAGCCCAAAGCCTATGTTTCTTAACACTATGATAGTTTCACACTAAGTTGCTGTGTTAAGGCCCCATAAATTAAAGAAGGCGAGGATTAACTAATGTGTTGTAATTGATTAGCCTTTTGGAAAAGAAGTTTTAGACCTTTGGCACCTAACAAATTTGATACCTTAGTAGACAATGTTTTTGCCTAGAATTATTTGGTAATAATTCTCTAGACTGAAGAGAGAAATTAGAAAACAAATTATCACTAGATCTTTGATTTTAACTATATATATCAAAAGTAACAAACTAAAAGGAAAATTATAGAGTAGGGAAAATGTACTATTCAGAAATAATATAAAGTATAAATCTAGGGACCGGTATTGGATACCATTTTGTGTATCCCAGCTGCTCCACTCCCTATCCAGCTCCCTGCTAAAAACGTGGGAAAGCAGTGGAGGGGTAACCCAAGTGCCTGGGTCCCTGCCACCCACATGGGAGACCTGGATGAAACTCTGACTCCTGCTTTGGCCTGGCCCAGCTGTGGCCGTTGCTGCCATCTGGGGAGTGAACCAGTAGATATCATGTGCGCTTTCCCTCTCTATATGTGTGTTTGTGACTCCATCTTCTCTGTAACTCTGACTTTGAAATAAATAAGTATTTTTTAAATAGGAATATTAACCTGCATTTAAGAGCCTAAGCTATCTGGATATGAATTCCAGCATTTTAACTTGCTCACTTTGTGACTTAATGCTTCTTAACCTCTTTTTATTTCTCATCTGTTAAATCATATAATAGTAATGAATAACTTGGAGATATCATAAGAATTACATAAGTTAGTAATGAGCTCAGAGCAGTATCTGGCATACCCAAATGGAGTTCCAGTATCTGCTTGACTAGCCCTGGCCATTGCAGGCTTTTGGGGAGTGAACCCAGTAAATGGAAGATCTTTTTATCTTTCTGTAACTCTGCCTTTCAAATAAATAATCTTAAGAAAAGAACAAATTAGGGCTAGCACTATCACATAGTGGATAAACTTGCCACCTATAGTGCCAGCATCCCATATGGGTCCAGTTCGAGTCCCAGCTGCTCCACTTCTGATCCAGTTATTTATTTGAGAGGTAGAGTTACAGACAGTGAGAGGGAGATACAGAGAGAGAGGTCTTCCTTCCACTGATTCACTCCCCAAGTGGTGGAACAGCTGGAACTGCCACAATCCAAAGCTAGGAGCCAGGTGCCTCTTTCTGGTCTCCCATGAGGGTGCAGGGCCCAAGCACCTGGGCCATCTTCCACTGCCTTCCCAAGCCACAGCAGAGAGCTGGACTGGAAGAGGAGCAGCTTGGACTAGAACCGGCGCCCTTATGGGATGCCGGTGCCGCAGGTGGAAGATTAACCTACTGCGCCATGGCGCTGGCCCTGGACTAACTTCTGTTGTCATATTGATTTTGCAATCAGCTTAGTAATTGTGTTGTTTTAAATTAATACTTAGTGATGTTTGATATTTTGTGGGTCAGTTTAACCTCTCAGATTCTAATACTTATATTTGGGAATCATTGGTTAGTATTTTTTTTTTTAAGACTCAACTAGATGTTAGACTAAATGGAATTGGATGATAAAAATGGAGATTGTAAAAGCTTCAACACAGGATTGTTTTGAGGGATAAATCAAAGTATCTAACCCTTCATGATATTTCAGTAGATGCTGTTTTTCCTTTCCTTCTCTAACTTTAGTGATAGTTAATGTTCCCTTTGTAGTTATTTTCTTTCTTTCTTGATACATACTTCTTTCATGCTGTTAACTGTTATCATCCTGAGGTTTGGTAATCATCTTTCCCTGCATCCATGTATTTATTAGAGTTTTTATTTTTCCAGTTACATTGATTTTGGAAAATGTAAGTGTGCACAGAGTTCAAGTCTGTTATCCCAGTGTGGACAAAGCAACTGAGAATGCATGAATATTCTTAATGCCTAGAAAATGTGAACAAAATATGCAACATTTTTTATTAACAACAGAAAAAAGACTGAAGAGATTTTAACATAAAGGAAATTTAGTTATCTACTAGAAGTGAAGTATTTCCATTTTTCTGAGTATAAAATAAGGTTTTATCATTAAATCATACATAAAAATTTACACAGTAACTGTGCATGGCTTTGTGTTAGAACATAATCTCAGCCAGCGACGCAGCTCACTAGGGTAATCCTCCGCCTGTGACGCCAGCACCCCGGGTTTTAGTCCCGGTCAGGGGGCCGGTTCTGTCCCCGTTGCTCCTCTTCCAGGCCAGCTCTCTGCTGTGGCCCAGGAAGGCAGTGGGTGATGGCCCAAGTCCTTGGGCCCTGCACCCACATGGGAGACCAGGAGGAAACACCTGGCTCCTGGCTTCGGATTGGCACAGCATGCCAGCCGCAGCAGCCATTTGGGGGGTGAACCAACAGAAAGAAGACCTTTCTCTCTGTCTCTCTCTCTCTCACTGTCTAACTCTTCCTGTCAAAAAAAAAAAAAAAAAAGAACATAATATGTTCTCACTAGAAAAAAAAGAGATGTAAAAGGATAATGTGAAGAAGTAGAAGCAAAATATAGTAAGAGATAAACCTTAATATAGTAAACACAAAATGCACTGCCCATTTTGATGTAATTTTAGAGTTCACTAATGTTTTTCTTTTTCAGGAAGTGAAAGCTCTGTTCAAAAATGAAAACTGTCCCAAAGTGATAAGCTGTGAATTTGCACACAATAGCAACTGGTATATCACCTTCCAGTCAGACACAGATGCACAGCAGGTGAGAGGAAACTTTCCTTCTGATTCATATCCTGATGGTAAAAGAAGTAGTGATTTTACTCTGGTTTGAATCCAGAGAGGTGGAGTGCAGGTAGGTTCTTCTTTATGTCCACCACATAGATTCTGAGAAATTTAGAAGGAATTGTTAGTTCTGGTATTGCAGGGTATAGTAGGGTCATTTCCCAGATCTGCCAGGGTAGAAACAGATTTTTTTAAGGGCTGCTTCTGGTGTTATCCTCCAGAAGCTAAACCAAATCCTATGGGTTCACATAGAGTGCATGACATGGAGTTCACATGATTTATCCCTCAAAACAATCTAATAAATACATGGAGCTAATGCCAAAAAACTCCCATAGTTGCAGGATGCATGCAATCTGTCCTTTGCCCCACACATTACCCTGATCTGACTAGGACACCGGTAGGAGCAGAATAGAGGCACACTGCGTGGCCTTTCTCTGCTGAGTATCGTGCTCTGCAGAAGTAGGGGAAGGGAGTGAAGGACAGCAATGCAGCTTCCCTGCTCCAAGTCCAGCAGTTGCTCAGAATCCAGTCAGCAGTGACTGTGGAATTCCCTCTCAACTACAACTGAGTGCTGGGGGGGCGCAGCAATTTTTTCAACCTTAAGGTGGCAAGATTATGGCTGCACCATGTGACCATGTGACTGGCTGCAGCGATGTCTCCTTCAACTCTTGTCCCTCAGAGTCTTTGTTTGGAAATTAAACAGCATGCTACTGAATAAGTGGGTTGTTGAAGACATTAAAAAAGAAATCGAATTCTTGAAATAAATGAAAATGAAAACACATCATATCAATGCCTGTGAGGTACAGCAATAGTAGTATTAAGAGGGAAGTTTATAGCATTAAGTCTTTACATGAAAAAAGGAGAAATGTCTCAATGACCTAATGATGCATCGAACGAACCAAACCCAAAATCAGCAGGAGGCAAGAAATAATAAGGATCAGGGCAGAAGCAGAAATAAATGAAATTAAAACTAAAAAAAAAAAGTAAAATACAAAAGATCAACAAACAAAAAGTTGGGGTTTTTTTTTGAGAAGATAAACAAAATAGGTAAGTCTCTAGCCAGACTAACAAAATAAAACAGAAAAAACTCAAGTAAATAAAACTAAACATGAAAAAGGAGATAACCACTGAAATACAGAGGGTCATAGGAAACTACTATGAAGAACAGTATGCTAATAAACTGAAATAAATTTGAAGAAATGGATACATTACTGGATTCATACAACCCACCAAGATTAAATCAAGAAGCCATAAAAAAACCTAAACAGACCCATAATACACAATGAGATTGAAACAGTAATCAAAAGTGTTCCATCAAGGAAAATTTGGGACCTGATAGCTTTACTACTGAATTCTACAAAACATTCAATGAGGGAGTAACTCCAGTACGCTTCAAACTATTCCATAATAGTGAACAGGATGGAACTCTGCCAAACTCTTTTTATGAGGCCACCATCACTTTGATACCAGAACCCAACAATGACACAACATGAAAAAACTACAGACCTATATCTTTAATGAACATAGATGTAAAGATTCTCAACAAGATAGTAGGAAGTCGAATTCAAAACCATATCAGAATCAAGTGGGATTTTTCCAGAAATGCAAGCGTGGTTCAACATTTCACAAATCAATAAACGTGATAAATCAATTCAGTTTGAAGAACAAAAACCATATGGTCATCTCAATAGATGAGAAAGCATTTGATAAGATTCTTTTATGATGAAAACTCTCCACAAATTAGGTTCAGAAGGAACATTCCTCAAAATGATAAAAGCTTTGTATGGCAAACCAGCAGCCAATATACTGAATGGAGAAAAGATGAAAGCATTTCCCCTCAGATCTGGAACAAGACAGGGGTGTCCATTTTCACCACTATTATTCTACATAGTACTGGAAATTTTAACGAGAGCAATTAAGGGCATCAGAATTGGAAAAGAGGAAGTCAAATTATCCATGTTTGCAGATGGCATCATATTATTCATGGGAAAACCTAAACATTCCATCAAAAGGCTGTTAGAATTGATAAACCAGTTTAGTAAAGTTGCAGGTTACAAAATAAACATACAAAAAATAGTAGCTTTTTTATGTGCCAATGAAGAACTCACAGAAAGAAATCCCATTCACAATAGCCACTAAAAAATATTTAGGAATAAATTTAACCAAAGAAGTGAAAGATCTCTACAGTGAAAATGATAAAACATTGATGAAATAAATCATCAAGGACACAAAAATGGAAAGATATTCCTTGTTTATGGGTCAGAAGAATCAATGTTATTAAAGTGTCTGCACTTCAAAAGCAATCTGCAGATTCAATGCAATCCATATCAAAATACCAATAAGATTTTTACAGAGTTAGGAAACCACGAAAGACCCACAATAGCCAAAGCCAACCTGAACAAGAAAAATCAAGCTGGAGGCATCATAATACCTGACTTCAAAGCACACTACAGCTCACAATGCTCAGCTCCGCAATGCCATAGCCACCTGCTCCCACCTCCGCCACCTCTGAACAGAGGGTGGCTCTGCCTCACATGTATGCTGATCTTGGCAAATGTGCAAGGACTACAGATTTGGCTTAAAGCTTGATTGGAAATCAAAGTCCGGGAATGGATTAGAATTTACAAGCTCAGGCTCAGCCAACCCAGACCACCAAAATGACAGACAGTCTGGAAACCAAGTACAGATGGACTGAGTATGGTCTGATATTTACGGAGAAATGGAACACCGGCAACACACTGGGTACCAAGATCACCATGGAAAACAAACTTGCATGGAGACTGAAGCTGGACTTCATCCAACTCCCCTAACACTGGAGAAAGAAAGTGATAAAATCAAGCCAGGATACGAGCAGGAGCACATCAGCACGTAGATTTCAACATTGTTGGGCCCTTCATTCAGGATGCTTTGGTGCTGTGTTACCAAGGCCGGTTTGGCTGGCTACCAGATGAACTCTGGGAGTGCAAAGTCCCAGGTCACGCAGAGCAACTTTACCATCAGCTACAAGAGTGACAGATTCCAGCTTAACAATGGAACAGAGTTTGGCTGCTCCATTTACCAAAAGGTAAACAAGAAGGTGGAGACTGTGGTCAGTCTTGCCTGGACAGCAGGAAACTAATGTTCCAGAATAGCAGCCAATTATCAGATCTGCCATGACACTTGCTTCTCGGCTAAGGTGAACAACTCCAGCTTGATAGGATTAAGATACACTCAGACTCCAACGCCAGGTATCAGACTGATGCAGTCAGCTCTGCTGGGTGGCAAGAACATCAATACTGGTGGCCACAGGCTTGTTCTAGGACTGGAATCTCAAGCATAAATGAGGACATGCTTTTAATTTTAAATTTATTTTGCAGCACAGCTACCTTCAGAATTTAGTGTATCTTTTGATGTTGTTTGGGATGTAAATGTTGCTCAGTATCATGTTAGACCTCCAGGTTATTAAGGATAATTCAGCTTTCAGGTGTTACCTCTGCAGAAGTACAGAAGAAACCTGAGTCCAAAGAAACATCTTTGCAGTTGCAGGCTTGGGGGCAGGTTTCTTTTTTCTAGAAGTGGATGCAAGTGGAAACTGATAATATGTAGCCACTTTGAAAGTCCTTACTGAGTAAATGAATGAAATTGTGACTAGCTGAGACTTGAACCTTGGTCTCCTATCCCTACTGATGAGAGGCTTATTGCTTGATGGTGTGTAAAGACTCATCCAAAAGGGGGCGTTTTTAGACAGATCTTTATGATCTTTTCCCATGCCAGTCCATTGTTACCTCTTTTACACCAAAAGTAGTTTGCTGGGTGTGGTAGCTGTGTCTTTCATGCCATCCTGGAGTGGTGTAGGGTGGTTGTGATACAGCCAATGATTCAGGGCTCTGATCCTTCCCGTATGGCTCAGAGAATGAAATCACTGCCAGGAGCTCTGGCTGCACATGGGGCAGAGCCAGTGTGATTGTAATCCTCTGGTAACAACACCCAGAATCTAAATTGGCCTTCTGTCATATTCTCACCACTCAGTTTAATTTTTAGCAATTTAATGGTACCTTTTAGAGTTCCATCATGTGTGGAATTAGATCGTCCCCTTCAAATGCTGTAATTAACATCACTTAAAATAAAACTTGAGCCGGCGCCGCGGCTCACTAGGCTAATCCCCTGCCTTGCGGCGCCGGCACACCAGGTTCTAGTCCCCGTCGGGGCACCGGATTCTGTCCTGGATGCCCCTCTTCCAGGCCAGCTCTCTGCTGTGGCCAGGGAGTGCAGTGGAGGATGGCCCAAGTGCTTGGACCCTGCACTCCATGGGAGACCAGGATAAGTACCTGGCTCCTGCCATCGGATCAGCGCGGTGCGCCGGCCGCAGCGCACCGGCCACGGCAGCCATTGGAGCAAAGGAAGGCTTTTCTCTCTGTCTCTTTCTCTCACTTTCCACTCTGCCTGCCAAAAAATAAAAATAAATAAATAAATAAAAAATAAATAAAACTTGAATAAAATCTCAAAACCTCAAAAAAAAAAAAGCTACAAAACTGTCATAATTAAAAAAGCATGGTACTGGCATAAAAACCAATACATAGATCAATGGAACAGAATAGAGAACCCAGAAATTAGTCTACATACATACAGCCAACTGACTTTTGACATAAGTGCTCAAACTATAAAGTGGAGAAGTAGAGTAACAAATGATGCTGGCATAACTGGATGTATATGTGTAGAAGAGTGAAATTAGATCCATACCTCTCACTGTATACAAAACTGAACTCAAGATAAATCAAAGACCTGAATATAAGACTGAAACTATGAAGTTCAACTTGCTGGAAGAAAATGTAGGGGAAACATTCCAAGCCATTGGTATAGGAGGTGACTTCTTGGATAAAGACCCCCAAAACATAGGCAGCAATAGCAAACTAAACCAGTAGGACTATGGGTACAACAATGGAAGTGATGAATGGAGTGAAGAAATACCCAGAGCCAGCGTTGTGGCCTACCAGGTTAGGCTGCTGCTTGCAATGTTGGCATCCCAAATGGCGCTGGTTTGAGTTCCAACTGCTCCACTACCGATCCAACTCCCTGCTGGTGTGTCTGGGAGGGCAGCAGAGGATGACCTGGGTGTGTCAGTGTAGCCACTGTAGAAAACTCCTTTAAAAATTAGAAATAGATTTGCCATATGGTCCAGCAATCTCAGTACTATGAGTATGTACCCAAAAAGACTTGAACACAGTGTTTCAAAGAGATACCTGTACCAGCATGTACAGCACTGTTCGCAGTAGTCAGCATTTAGAGTCAACCAAGGTGTCCATCATCAGATGCAATGGTTAAGGACAATGTGATGTGTGTGTGTGTGTGTTTGTATATATTTACACACACACCACAGACAATGGAATATTATTCAGCTATACAGAATGAGTTTCTACCATTTGCAACAAAATTGATGCAACTGGAAGACATCATATTGAATGAAATAAGCCAGTTCCAGAAAGACAGCAGAAGATGGTCCAAGGGGTTAGGCCCCTGCCACCCACATAGGAGACCTGGATATAGTTCTAGGGTCCTGACTTCAGCCTGGCCTAGTCCTTTCCATTGCTGCCATTTGGAGAATGAACCAGCAGCAAATGGAAGATCTTAATATTCTCTCTCTCTCTCTCTCTGTAACTCTGACTTTGAAATAAATAAAATCTTTAAAAAATAATAAAAAGTGAACCATGTACTGGTATTTCTAGTAGGCTTTCTTGATTTGTTTTTTTTTTTTTTTTAAGATTTATTTATTTAAAAGAGTAACAGGTAAGGAATAATGGAGAGAAAGAGGCATTCCATATGCTGGTTCACTCAACAGATACCCGCAACAGCCAAGGATGGGCCAGGCCAAGGCCAAGAATCAGGAAATTGATTTATCCAAGGACTCCCATGTTGGTGGCAGGGACATTGGCCAGATACTGTAATATATGATACAGGCATTCTACGCCATGACCTTAACCTGCTGTGTTACGACATTCTGCTAATAGATTAATCCCACAGTAAATAGGAAATTTTTTGGAATTTTGACTTAATGGTTTTCAGTCTTTGTTCTCATGGCTTATTAAAGATAAGAGAAATAATACTGGATTCAACAGGTGCTCAGGGCCAGCTCCATGGCTCACTTGGTTAATCCTCTGCCTGCGGTGCCAGCATCCCATATGGGCGCTGGGTTCTAGTCCCGGCTGCTCCTCTTCCAGTCCAGCTCTCTGCTGTGGCCCGGGAGGCAGTGGAGGATGGCCCAAGTGCTTGGGCCCTTGCACCCGCACGGGAGACCAGGAGGAAGTACTTGGCTCCTGGCTTCAGATCGGCGCAGTGCCGGCCGTAGGGTCCATTTGAGGAGTGAACCAATAGAAAGAAGACCTTTCTCTGTCTCTCTCTCACTATCTAACTCTGCCTGTCAAATTAAAAAAAAAAAAGAGAGAGAGAGAGAATGCAATAATATTCCTTTGAAACAGAACTGTATCTTTAAAAATTTTTTTTTAGTTCTTCATTTTAGAAGACTGAATCTTTTTTTTTTTTTTCCAAGATTTATTTTATTTATTTGGAAGGCAGAATTACAAAAGAGAGAGAGATCTTCCATCTGCTGGTTCACTCCCTATATGGCGCAACAGCTGTGGCTGGGCCAGTCCAAAGCCAGGAGCCAGAAGCTTCTTCCAGGTCTTCCATGTGGGTGCAGAGGCCCAAGCACTTGGGCCATCTGTTGCTTTCCCAGGCCCATTAGCCGGGGGTTGGATGGGAAGTAGTGCAGCCAAGACTCAGAAACAGCACCCTTATGGGTTGCTAGCATTATAGGTGGCAGCTTAACCTGCTATGCCACAATACTGCCCCCCCCCCCTTTACAGATTTATTCATTTATGTATTTGAAAGGCAGGACAACAGAGAGAGGGGATGGAGGGAGAAACAGATCTCTTTCATCAGCTAGTTCACTTCCCAATTGGCCACAGCAGCCAGTGGTGGTCCAGGCCAAAGCCAAGAGCATCAGTACTCCAGGTCTCACATGGTTGGCATGTTTTTAGCTGTCTCCTGCTGCTTTCTCTGGTGTGTTAACAGGGAGCTGAATCAGAAGTGGAGCATCTGGGACTAAACCAGTGCTCCCAAGTGGATTGCCTGCATTATAAGCATGATCTTCACTTGCTACATCACAACTCTGGCGCCAGTGAGCCCATAAGGTGTGGTGGTTTTTTTTTTTTTTTTAAAGCTCAGAGACCTTCCATCCATTTGTTCACTCCCTAAATGTCCACAGCAGTCAGGCAGAAGCCAGGAGCTTCTCCAGGTCTCCCACAGGGTGGGAGGGGTCCAAGTACGTGAGCCATCTTCTGTTGTTTTCCTAGGCTCATGAGCAAGGAGCTGGATCAAAAGTAGGGCAACTGGAACTCGAACCAGCGCCCAAATGGGATGCCAGCATCACAGGCAATGGCTTTGCCTGATACACCACAAAATGCTGACACACACACACATACCCTTTTTTTTTTTTATTTTAATATGTAGCCCATGAAATTTTTCAGTCTTTTGCATCTTATCTGTAATAATCTGTAGTAACTCTACTGCAGTGAACATAAACTTCAGTGACAATGTCTTAAATTTTTGGTTTTTCATTCCCTGCTGCCTTGCACAATGGAATCACCTTCAAAATTTTTTGTTTAGTTCAGAAAATAGTTACTGCTACCAAAAATCTTGATAGGTAGAAATGGCTTTAATGAAATGGTTGAGTGCTAATGAGTTTCTTTCTGCTTTGTTAACAGGCTTTTAAATACTTAAGAGAAGAAGTTAAAACTTTTCAGGGCAAGCCAATCATGGTAAGAAATACTTGTAAATTAAACAAGGAGAGTGAGAAACAAAAAAATGTTATGAATTGATCATTTTAAAAATACAGACAGCTCAGTGATTTTAAGGAAGTTTCTGTTTTGTGTTACATACTACTTTTAAAAAATAGTTAATAAAAAGTATTTAAATACTTCACATACAGCAATTTAAAAAAACAAAACAAAACATGACTTCTCACAACTTATAATTCCAGATCTCATAATCAGTAGTAGTAATAATTTTAAGTAACAAAGATGAAAAGCATGCTCTGTACTTTGAACTTCATCTCAACTGCATATGACATTAAAATGCAATCACTTGGTAACTTAGGAACTGCTTACACCTCCTTACTGTCTTTACTGTTCTCAGGCCTCATGAACCCTGCTATTAAAACTTCTTTCCATCAGTATTGCTATTATATAGGCTTGAACTATTGGAGTAGCCTCTCAACTGCTGTTCTGTGCCTTTAGTTGATCCCCCTTACTTTCTTAGCAGTTTTCAAATGTATAATGCATTATATTTAATTATAGATCTCCATAACTTATTCCTATTTTCTGACTGAAACTTTGTGATCCTTGACCAGCATCTTCCCATTCTCTTCCCATTGCCTCCCATTCCCCAACCCTAGTCCTGGTAACCTCCATTCTACTCTCTCTACTGAGTACATATACATACATACAAGTGGGATCATGCAGTATTTGTGTTCTTGGGTTATTTCATGTAGCATGGTGTCCTCCAGGTTCATCCATATTGTTATAGATGATACTGTTTCCTTCTCTTTTAAAGGATAAATCATCTTCCATTGTATGTATACTTCCATGTATGTATACATGTATGTATATGCATTTTTCTTTATCTGTTCACCAATCAGTGGACATTTAGTTTGTTTCCATATCTCGACTATTGTGAATAATGCTGCAGTAAACATTTAGAGTAGTTTTCTCTTCAACATACTCATTTCATTTTTGGGTTTATAGCCACTCGTGGGATTACTAGATTACATTATGGCTCTATTTTTAAGCTTTTGGAGAACCTCCATACTGTTTTGAATAATGACTATACTAACTTACCCACTAATAGTGTGAAAGGATTCCCATGTTCTTTGAATACTTATTCTTTTTGTTGATAATTTTCTCATATATGTGGTACTGTCATGTTGCTTTAAGTAGCGTTTTTCTAATGGTTGATAACTGGGCATTTTTTCATATAGCTCATTTTAAATTATATCTCTTACAAATAAAGATTATCTGTTTCATATGTTTTAGTCATTTCTATGACTTTTTTTCTGTGAACTCTTTTCATTTCTCTAACTCATTTCTCTAGGATTCTTGAGTCTCATGTATGTTTTTATAATTTGAATATTAATACCTTGCTATTAGTTTTACTATTTTGACTTTTGTGTGTTAACCTTTTTGTGTATATTCTGTACCCTGCAAGCACTTTTTTTTTTGACATTTAATCATTAATTATTGTGTTCTTCTTGCTTGTAGGCAAGGATAAAAGCCATCAATACTTTTTTTGCAAAGAATGGTTATCGATTAATGGATGCTAGTATGTATAATCAGCCCATTCAAACTCAAGCACAATATGCCTCACCAGTCTTTATGCAGCCTGTATATAATCCTCACCAGCAGTACTCAGTCTACAGTATTGTGCCTCAGTCTTGGTCTCCAAATCCTGCACCTTACTTTGAAACGCCACTGGTAAGTGAGATCTTTATGGAATAATATAAAATAAAATATTTTTAATTCAAGCATAAATTTTAAGAAACCAGATTGAGGTGTTGTTGTTTTTGTGTTGATTTCAATACTTTCTGACTTTTAAATAGAGATGGGTATCTGATTCTTCTTACCAAACATACATATATATGACTATATGGTTCCTATAGTTTAAAGGATTTAAAATACTACTTAATGTGAAATTTTGTCAGAGAATGATGTTCATTAAGTAATGAACTAGCAATTTGTTGTTTGTGAATCAAGTGGTGCTTGAAGTAAATATTGTAAAGTAAATAGTTAACATTTTGAATCATTTTTGACTTGTAAAAGAAATTGGTAGTAGGTTAGCTCTTTGAGGTTTCATTTGACCCTTACACCAGATTTTGCCTTTACCTTTACCATTAATATTGTTTAAACATTAAAATTTTCTTCTAGGCTCCCTTTCCCAATGGTAGTTTTATGAATGGCTTTAATTCACCAGGATCTTTTAAAACAAATGCTGCTGCTATGAATATGGGTCGACCATTCCAAAAAAATCGGTAAGATAAATATCATAACTGGAATTTATTTTAAACAATTCCCAGTGGTTCTTGCTACCAGTGTTTGCTATTGTATTAATAGCAATACTTACTGGCTGACTCAATAAAAAGATTGTTTGTATTTTATAAAACCTGAATAATTTGATTTAGAATTCACATATACCCTTTGACGTCAGAGTTGAAGATAGATGGACTTGGGAATCAGACTTTTTTTTTTCTTTTTTCTTTTCTTTCTTTTTTTTTTTTTTTTTTTTTTTTTTTTTTTTTTTTTTGACAGGCAGAGTGGACAGTGAGAGAGAGAGACAGAGAGAAAGGTCTTCCTTTTGCCGTTGGTTCACCCTCCAATGGCCGCCGCGGCCAGCGCACCGCACTGATCCGATGGCAGGAGCCAGGTACTTATCCTGGTCTCCCATGGGGTGCAGGGTCCAAGTACTTGGGCCATCCTCCACTGCACTCCCTGGCCATAGGAGAGAGCTGGCCTGGAAGAGGGGCATCCAGGACAGAATCCGGTGCCCCAATGGGGACTAGAACCCGGTGTGCCAGCACTGCAAGGTGGAGGATTAGCCTAGTGAGCCGTGGCGCCGGCCCAGATTTTTTTTTAATAATAGAATAGACTCTCTAATATAAAATCTGGTGTCTAAACACTGTTTGGTTTATTAATTGAGTGTTTTAGAGAACAAGTTTTTCTTGGTTAAAAATGTTAACTGATTTTTGTAATGTTACAATATGTTACTTGAAGCTAAGGAATTGAAATGACTTCCATTAACTAGAGTATTCAACAAGCAGTTGCTAACATATATTGATTACTTAACATCTCAAGCTGTGCTCCTTAAGACTTAACATGTGTTAATTTTCATAGCCCTATGAGATAGGTACAGGTATATCTATTGCTTGTTTGCTATTTAAAAAAAAAAAAAAGATTTATTTATTTAAAAGGCAGAGTTACAGAGAGAGGGAGGAGACACATATTCTACCCGCTGGTTCATTCCCCAAGTAGCCACAATGTCCTGGGCTGAGCCAGGACAAAGCCAGGAGCCCACAACTCCATCCAGGTCTCCCAGGTAGATGCAGGGCCTAAGCACTTGAGCCATCTTTCTCAGCTTTCCCAGATGCAAAGCATGGAGTTGGATCAGAAGTGGAACAGCTGATCTCATATGGAATGCTGGCATCCCCGGAGGGAGCTTAACCCACCGCATCATAATGTTGGTTTATGTATAGATAAAGGATATAGATATTTAAAATGTTAAACCTGTCCAAGAGCATATAGCTAGTTAACTGCTTGAGCCAAGAATTGAACCCAGGCAGTTTGACTGAAAAGCCAGCACTAAATGTTCAGAACAGATCATTAGGAATTGTGGAAACTATTTGCTATCATACAAGAGATAGAGAAATCTCTTATATTTGTGTTTATGTAGACATGAGCTAATAATATATGGTAATCTCTCGTCAGATCTCATTCTTGCAGTTGCTTTTTTTTTTTTTTTTTTTTGGCACGTAGATCACATGGAATTGTTTTTCAGGATGACCTCTGGAAAGTTAGTCATTTTTATAAGGATTTCCTAAAACGTTCTTTTAAAAAAAATAGATTGATTTATTTATCTGTTTGAAAGTCAGAGTTACACAGAAAGAGGAGAGGCAGAGAGAGAGAGAGAGGTCTTCCATCCAATAGTTTACTCCCCAGTTGGCTGCAACAACTGGAGCTGCACCGATCTGAAGCCAGGAGCCAGGAGCTTCTTCTGGGTTTCCTACATGGGTGCAGGGGCCCAAAGCCTTGGGCCATCTTCTACTACTTTTTCAGGCCACAAGAGAGAGCTGGATCAGAAGTAGAGCAGCCGGGACTTGAACTGGTGCACATAGGGGCTACTAGCATTGCAGGCGACAGCTTTACCTGCTACACCACAGCACCAGGCGCCCCCCCTCCCCCCTTTTAAGATTTATTTATTTGAAAGGCAGTGCTACAGAGAAAGAGGAAGGGAGAGATAGAGAGAAAGAGATCTTTCGTCTGCTGGTTCACTCCTCAAATAGTCACAATGGCTGGGACTTGGCCAGGCACTTATTCTGGGTCTCCCACATGAGTGCAGGGGCCCCGGGACTTGAGCCTTCTTCCTCTGCTTTCCCAGGCACATTAGCAGGGAGCTGGATCAGAAGTGGGAGCAGCTAGAACTCAAAACAGGTGCCCATATGGAATGCTGGCACTGCAGATGGAGGCTTAACCTTCTGTGCCCCAACAGTGGCCCTGTATATATGTATTTAAAAGGCAGAGGCTGGCGCAGTGGCTCAATAGGTTAATCCTCCGCCTGCAGCGCCGGCACCCAGGTTCTAGTCCCGGTTGGGGTGCCTCCTGGTCTCCCATGCAGGTGCAGGGACCAAGCACTTGGGCCATCCTCCACTGCCTTCCTGGGCCACAGCAGAGAGCTGGACTGGAAGAGGAGCAACCGGGACAGAATCTGGCGCCCCAACCGGGACTAGAACCTGGTGTGCTGGTGCCGCAGGAGGATTAGCCTATTGAGCCATGGTGCCGGCCAGTGAACCAGTGCTCTTATATGGTGTGCTGGCATGATGAACCTCTGCTTAAGCCAGCTGCAACATAGTCACAGCTCTGGGGTGGGGATTTCCTTTTAAACACTTAGGAAGGATAGACATCTTTGTTATACACTAAAAGCAATTTTTAGAAGTAGTGATGCATACGAATGATTCTCTTAAAAATACATTAGATGAATGCATGGTTTTTCCTTTACTGGCACTTACTTTTGTCTGCTCTATCTTGCTGAAAGAGGTAAAAGTACAGTAAGAAATCCAGAAGTGACAGGTCATCTCTGCATATAAAAAAGGTGTCCCTATAGTAGCGGGGAGACAGGGTAGGTTTACTGTAATTTTACACCCTTTATTAAAACCCCACCAGGCCAGCTCCTGTTCCTTCAATTTTTTTTTTTTTTTTTTTTTTTTTTTTTTTGACAGGCAGAGTGGATAGTGAGAGAGAGAGACAGAGAGAGAAAGGTCTTCCTTTGCCGTTGGTTCACCCTCCAATGGCCACCGCTGCAGCCGGCGCACCGCGCTGATCCGAAGGCAGGAGCCAGGATCCAGGTGTTTTTCCTGATCTCCCATGGGGTGCAGGGCCCAAGCACCTGGGCCATCCTCCACTGCACTCCCTGGCCACAGCAGAGAGCTGGCCTGGAAGAGGGGCAACCGGGACAGAATCCGGCGCCCCAACCGGGACTAGAACCCGGAGTGCCGGCGCCGCAAGGTGGAGGATTAGCCTATTGAGCCACGGCGCCGGCTTTTCTTATATTTGAATAGTGGTGGTGGTTAAGTTTTCTTTACAGAAATAATACATAAATACACTAATGCTGACCCTACAGATAAAGCTGAAGAGCTTTTTTTTTTAAGATTTATTTATTATTTATTTGAAAGGCAGAGTTACAGAGAGGCAGAGGCAGAAAGAGGTGTTCCATCCGCTGGCTCGCTCCCCCAGTTGGCCGCAACAGCCGAAGCTGCGCCGATCCGAAGCCAGGGGCCAAGGGCTTCTTCTGGGTCTCCCATGTGGGTGCAGGGATCCAAAGACTTGGGCCATCTTCTACTGCTTTCCCAGGTCATAGCAGAGAGCTGGATGGGAAGTGGAGTAGCCGGGACTCAAACTGGTGCCCATATGGGACGCCGGCACTGCAGGCAGCGGCTTTACCCGCTACACCACAGCACCGTCCCCTAAAAAGCTTTTGACCAATGACCTAAATCTTTGCTTCTGAGTGACCACTACCAGAACTTTATCTTTTTTCTTCTCTTTTTTTTTTCCCTAATCATTGTTATTCAAAGGGAAAATAGCTTTTGGAGAGCCCTTTTGGATTGTCTGTATTAGCCCTGAGACAGCCCGATGATGATCACTAGTCCTACTAAGAGAGAATAGGACTAACATTCAGAAGTCCAGGCATTTTTCTACCTTTCATACTTGATCTTTCTCCTCCTTTCTGTCTTCTATCATTCATTTCTCCCTTCATTCTATTTTTCTTTTGCCTGGATTGAGACTGTAAGTCCCTCTCAGTGAAGGGTAAGATTATGAGATCTGAGGGCTGTTTGAACCTGATGTGTTGTGCATTGGGTATAATCAGTGCATTCTGAAGATTCAGTGAATGATGGTTTCTGAACAGATATGTAAATAGCATAACCACCTTCATATAGTCATTTTCAGGTAAGATAGGTGCTGTAAATATTTTTGAGATTAGTTTCTATTAGATCATAGTATAATTTTCATTACTAGTTAAAATTTATTTTGTAACATAAATTATTTGTAACATAAATTGAAACATAATTTTCATTACTAGTTAAAAATTACTTTGTAACATAAAGTAATTATTTGAAAAAATGTCTTTGTATATGAAACTTTGTAGCCTGATTTTTTTTTTTTTTTTTTTTTAAGATTTATTTTATTTACTTGAAAGGCAGAGTTAAAAAGAAGATTCAGAAAGAGAGGTTTTCTGTCCACTGGTCCCTTCTTCAGACTGCCAGGGCTGTGCCAGGCTGGAGCCAGGAGCCAGGAGCTTCCTAAGGGTCTGCCATATTTGTACAGGGACCCAAAGACTTGGGCCATCCTCCACTGCCTTCTGGGCATACCAGCAGGGTGCTGGATTGAAAGTGGAGCAGCCTGGACTTGAACCAGTGCCCAAATGGGATGCCAGCACTGTAGGTGGTGGCTTAACCCACTATGCCACAACACTGGCCCCCAATCCTGGGTTTTTTTCTTTTCTTTTTTTTTAAGATTTACTTGTTTATTCATTTATTCATTCATTTGAAAGGCAGAATGAGAGACCTTTGACCTGCTGGTTGACTCCCCAAATTGCCTCAGTAGCTGAGGCTGGGCCAGGTCAAAGCCAGGAACTGCATCATCTGCCTTTTCCCACTGCTTTCCATGGTGCATTAATAGTGAGCTGGATCAGAAGCAAAGCAACCAGGACTCCAACTGGCACTGCAGCATGGGATGTCCAAATTACTAGTGGTGGCTTGCCCATTGCACCCCAACACTGGCTTCTGATTTTTATCTTTTTTGAGTTTTAGTAGACCTTGTTTGGTATACTATCTAAATAATAGAGCAGGACAGCTAGAGATGCCATCGGAATTAATATTTAATTCTTGGGCTTATTATTGGTTTTAAATCCCTGTTCTGATAGTCAAGAATTGTAACTGTTATTAACATTTTAAACTTATAACTGAAAATATAATGTAAAAAAAATAATGGGCTGTGTAAACTGTAAGCCATGTGCCAGCTGCAGTCTCATGCACCCTCGTTCATAGACTGTAGAGCCAAGCTCTGCAGCTGTGTGGGCTGACCTGAGATGTTTTCAGTGTTGATTGACCTACAGACTCCCTCTACTACCCTACCCTCACCTCATCTGCTTACAGATTTTTAGGGAAGTGGTTACTTTGACCCATCATCCATGATAAAAGCCATTTTTACAAGAGGAAAGTTTGTATGTCTCTGGTTTTGTTTTTACCACATTATATACCTTAATTCATAAAGTCATACCATGCTGTTGATTGTGTTACCATATTTTTTTTGTTTTCTGTCCTGCATGTGGATCTTTGACCAGTTTCATTTAGTGAAAATTGCTTAGTGAAGAGGCTAGGATTTTAGTATATTCCAGTATTTCTTATCCTTTTCATTCTTATCTCCCCTATCTAATCTTTTTAAACAGTTTTGTCTATTTTCCTCCTATGAAAATGTAATAAATACTACAGGTTGTTGTGTATATACTTGTAATATATGTATATCTGTACTTTATACATAAATATGAATATTTTTGTCCACATCTCACCCCAACCAGTTATCATTCCCATGGGGAATAGTTTTGTCCTTGCTGAAAATGTGTGACAGGTTCATTAATAAGTTTAAAGCCTGGCTGATTTAGACATATGAAGACTATACCTGGTTTCTGAAACATCAGCTACAATCGTAATTATAGTCTGAATATTGAAGTAGAAGCAGCTTTATCTTGAAGAACTTTAAATTTTCCCCCAGATCTCCTAAAAATTAACATTTATTTAATTTTGAAATTCTTCCTTAATGGGAGTTACAATTTACAATGTCACACTCTTGTGTTCAACTTAATTTTTTTTTTTAATATTTATTTTATTTATTTGAAAGAGTTACAGAGAGAGGTAAAGACAGAGAGTAGTCTTCCATCCACTGATTCACTCCCCAGATGGCCGCAGCAGCCGGAGCTGCGCCAATCAGGAGCCAGGAGCTTCTCCCACGTGGGTGCAGGGGCCCAAGGACATGGGCCATCTTCTACTGCTATCCCAGGCCACAGCAGAGAGCTGGATTGGAAGTGGAGCAGCCAGGACTAGAACTGGCGCCCAAATGGGATGCCAGTGCTTCAGGCCACGGCTTTAACCCGCTGTGCCACAGCGCTGGCCCCGTTCAACTTAATTTTTAGAAAGTTACAGTATAGTAGAAGCCAGGTTTTACCAAGTAAAGGGTTTTCTTTGTTTGTTTGTATTGATTAACCTTTTCATGTTTCTTATAGTGTGAAGCCTCATTTTAGGTCATCTAGTGGTTCAGAACACTCAACAGATGGCTCTGTGTCATTGGGGGATGGACCATTGAACAGGTCTAGTTCAAGGAACTTTCCAACTGAACGGCCTACCCCTGTAGTAACAGGGCACCAGGAGCAAACTTTCCTTCCAAAGGAGGCTCCCACTTCGCAGGTGGAACAGAATGGGGACTTTGGTAGAGGCAGGTAAGTAAATATGAGTATATGAAACTGCTATTTCTTTTTTTTTCTTTCTCAGCCTCTTTAATGAGCAATTCTTTTTTTTTTTAACTTTAATTTAATGAATATAAATTTCCAAAGTACAGCTTATGGATTACAATGGCTCCCCCACCCCCATAAATTCTCTCCCATCTGCAACCCTCCCCTTTCCCTCTCCCTCCCCCCTTCCATTCACATCAAGATTCATTTTCAATTCTCTTTACTATTTCTTTTTTTATAAAGTTCATTTTATTTGAACAAAAGAGACAGATATTCTTGTCCACTGGTTCACTCCTCAGATGTTTGCAACAGCCAGGCCTGGACTAGGCCAAAGCTGGGAACCATGAACTCAGTTCAATTCTCCCACATGGGAAGCAGGGACCCAATCACTTGACCCATCACTGCTACCTCCCAGGGTACACATTACCAGGAATCAGGAGGGGACCTGGGACTCAAACCCATCTGTTTTGTGTCCTTAATTTTGTCTGTTTTTCTAAATGAAGGACTGGGGTTATATATTGCTACATAAACTAAAGCCTAATATGCTTGAGTTTGGAGAAACTGCTACTTATAAAATGGGACCAGCTTATCTTGGTGATGGTGGTGTATGTGAAGTAGATTAGCTCAGGATCCCTTCGGAAGAATGTATTTTAACTTTAATAATAATGGAAATTAGCCTCATATTTAGAAAAAAAATAGATGCTTAAAATAGAAATCTATCCATTTTTGGTAGAATGTGTATATTTGAAGAAAACTATAAGTTGTCCTACCCCTGTCTCTCTTGTCATTAAAAGGAGAACACTTTTCAGAGGTCGGAGACGACGAGAAGACGACAGGATCCCAGTAAGTGTTTATAAGCTTTAATCATATTATTCAGAATTTTTTTCTTCTATGGTTTATTGTAGCATTGGCTTGTGATCTGTCTTTCGTTTCTGGGTTTTCGTATTAATATAGCTTTTATCAATGATATGTAGAACCTGAACTTACTGCCAAATTGGCACCAGCACTACGTGCACAACCACCCTCAATCACGCACATTGTTAGGAGTTTAATTTGTGTTGCTAACATTTATAATCATTATTTGAATACCTAATATATTCACATGGTTTATAAATAAAAATAGGACTTTAATATGTTGATGAACATTTAAAGTTTCAGGCTTTTGCTAATATAAACCAGCCAGTGCTAATATAAACAATGCAGGGATAACCTCATGCAACCATTTCCTATATTTGCAAGTATATCTAGAAGAGAATCCCTAGAAATGCAATTCTAGGTCACGCTTCAGTAGTTGTTGCCAAATAGTGCTCAGTAGGGTTTGTGGCAAGTTGCACTACAACAGATAATGAGCAAAGGCAGAATGCGAAAGACAGAAATAGAGAAATCTTTCATGCACTGGTTCATTCCCAGATGGCTGCAATAGCCATGGCTGGATCAGGCCAAAGCTAAGAACTCAGAACCCCATCTGGGTCTCCCACATAGTGGCAGGTGTCAAATCACTAGGGCCACCTTTCATTGCTTTCCCAGGTCTACTAGCAGGGACCTGAATCTGAAGTTATGGGATGCCAGTGTTACAGGTGGTAGCTTACCACACTGCACCACAACACTGGCCCCTACAGTAAACCTTCTAAAACTGTTTTCATTTAAAACTTTCTAAATTATGGGCAGCCATGAAACTTCAGGCAACAGCTGTTTTTTGTGTGTTGTTGTATATATGCATATGAATGTTGGCATGAACCTCAACAACTATGGGAAAGAGAGTTTTGGTTTGGGGTCTGATTACTGTGTTGAAAGGGCCAGAATTGAGGACTAGCAATTAGGGTGGAGGAAATGGAACTAGGCATGTCTTCCAATAGGAAGGGTGGGGAGAGAAGTCATGTGCAGGAGGGAGATGTTACCCAAATATTAAAATTTGTAAGCTTACACACAGGAAATTGAAGTGATAAGAATAAATGAGGGGACTGGCGCTATGGTGTAGTAGGTTAAACCTCCACCTGTAGTGCCAGCATCCCATAGGGGCACCAGTTCAAGTCGCAGCTATGCTACACTTCCGATCTGGCTTCCTTGCTAATGGCCTGGGGAAAGCAGCGGAAGATGGCCCAAGTCCTTGGACCCCTGCTCCCAAGTGGGAGATCCAGAAGAAGCTCCCGGCTCCTGGCTTCAGATTGGCCCAGCTCTAGCCATTCTTGCGGCCATCTAGGGAGTGAGTAAACCAGCAGATGAAAGACCTCTCTGTCTCTCCCCCTCTGTGTTTGTAACTCTGCCTCTCAGGTAATCTTTTTTTTTAAAAAAAAAGTGAGGTACTGCGTTGTATGTGATAAAAGATTTGAAAAGCAATAAAAAAAAGAGGTTCATGTATGGAAAATTAAAGAACATAGTAGCTTTAGGCTGAAGAAGAGTATTCAGTATGTTGCTTGAAGAAATATGAATGGACAGAGCTAATATGCAAGTGAATGTTTGGGTTAAGATAAAGCTTGAGCTGAAATTATTTTAAGTGTATAATTGAATGATTTGTTCTGTAAATAAGCAGAATTGTACAGCCATAACTACCAAAAAGTGAAAAGGATTATCTTAAAAGTTGTTTTCGCATAGTTGATAGTTGAAACCATGGCTAACAAGTAACCCTAGGAGTATTTGGAAAATGAAGAGAATAAAATTGAATTAGAATATAGAAATCATTGGAATTTAAGAAGTGGGAAAGGGAGGGAAGTGTTCATGATAGTCAGATCTGAGAATAACCAAGAGAACAAAGTACCACAAAGGCTAAGAGAAGAATGAACTCCCAAGAAAGAGGGTAACATACCAAATAATACGGCTGCCAGTGTTTATGTTGTGGAAGATATTAGTGACTTGCCTCAACAATATTACTGAAATGCTAAATTCGGAGGAAGAGCTACAATGAGCTTGTCAACGATGCATGGAGTGGTAGGTAACAGGGAAAGATTAGATTTTCAAACATGTTATAGAAGGGAAGAATATTGTTCCCTCTTGTGACTAGATGGAGGAATAAAGATGAAGACAAATTTAGGTAAGGGGTGTTTGTTTTTCAGCATTTGTATGGATGAGGTACATCAAATTTAGAGAGACGGAATAGTGGAGAGTCATTGGAAAGTTTAAGGGATTTGGCAGAGTTTGTAAAGATGAGGAAGCAGACTAAAGAGAAGTAGGATTGGTTTGAAAAAAAAGACAACTGAAGAAGCCAAGAATCTACATGGAGACTGCTTTAGGATAGAGGCTGATTTTGTTTTTCTTTCCTTCCATTTTGCAGCTTCTATGATGCAGGATTACAGACTAAGATAGGCATATTGATTTGCTTTATGGTTTGTGTCTTTTAGAGACCCCATTCCTCCAGCACTGAAGCAAAGCCTCCCACACCGAAATTTGACTTACTAGCCTCAAATTTCCCTCCTTTACCTGGAAGTTCATCAAGAATGTCAGGTGAACTTGTTTTGGAGAATAGGATGTCTGATGTCGTTAAAGGTGTCTACAAAGAAAAGGTAAACACTGAAATATATAGTTAGCTTCTCTGTTACGCTTATGAGACCATATTTAGGCATTGTTTTGTTTGCACTTAGTACATATATCTATCATTGCTTTTATTCTTGGGTTTTTTATTATACTTGGAATTTCTTTTAAATTTTTTTATAAAGCAATTATTTATAAGCAGTTGCCTTTTATAAAGACAATAAAATGTCTTGACTTTTGCGTGTCTTTGTTTCAGTCAGCAGAGCTTGATAGAACTGATTAATACAAACTAATGAAAGGTGTCATTTCCACCTAAGTAAGTGCTTAAAATTAACCATTGATATAAATAAACTCTAGGGGCCGGCACTATGATGTAGTGGGTAAAGCCGCTGACTGCAGTGCCAACATCCCACATGGGCGCCAATTCAAGTCCCTGCTGCTCCACTTCCGATACAGCTGTCTGCTGTGGCCTGGGAAAGCAGTAGAAGATGGCCCAAGTCCTTGGGCCCCTGGACCCACATAGGAGATCTGAAAGAAGCTCCTGGCTCCTGGCTTCAAATTGGCATATCTTCAGCCGTTGCGGCCATTTGGGGAGTGAACCAGTAGATGGAGGATCTCTCTTTCTCTGTTTCTCCTTCTCTTCTATGTAATTATTTCAAATAAATAAATAAATATTTTTATAAATAAGTAAATAAACTCTAACAGTGAATTCAGTCTTTCAAGTAATGGAGAATAAGTATATATATATATATATATTTTTTTTTTTTTTAAGATTTATTTAATTTATTTGAAAGGCAGAGTTAGAGAGGAAGAGATAACATAGAGATCTTCCATCCACTGGTTAACTCCCCAAATGACTGCAACAGCCAGGGCTAAGCCAGGCCAAAGCCAGGAGCGAGGCACTCCATCCTGGTCTTTCACATTGGTTGCAGGACCCAAGTATTTTGTCATGTGCTGCCTTCCCAGTCACATTAGCAAGAAGCTGGATGAGAAGTGAAGTAACCAGGACTCAAACTGGCAGTCTTATAGGATGCCGGGATGCCGGCATCATAGCTGTGGTTTACCCTCTGTGCCACGACACCAGCCACTAGATAATATTTTTGAGTATAAACCTCTCCATGTCCAAAATTCTCATGTCATAAAAGTTTCAATATTTTTCTAATTATTTATAAAAGTATATGAACATAGTATATCTAGGCTTATAATGAAAAAAAATGATGTAGATTCAACTATTAACTTTTTTTCTGCCATTTATGGCTGTATAATAATTTAACATAGTTTTACTGGTGTCTTAACTTCACAGTTTTAGACATTGGCTAATTTCTGGATGTTCTAAAGCTAAAGAGTTAGCTCTGTTAAGCATACTGAATAGTTTTTCTGTCCTCCTGGTATTTTTCTGCTTCAGATATCATCAGTTATAAAGTTCCCATTATTTTAGTATCACTTTGAAACATTTTCAGTTAGGCTAGGCCATGTCATCATTTCTAAGGTACATTTCGGTATTACATACCTTATTTATAGCTGTGACTCACAGAACAGTGTGATTAGTTTGTTTTTTGTTTTGGTGGGGATTTTATCTGCCACACTGCCAGTGGCCAGAGTAACTTCTCTATCTGTGTAGCTGAATGGTTGTATTCCTGGAACTTCGCTTTATTTATTAGATTGAAAGAGAGATCTTCCATCCACTGGTTCATTCCCCAAATGGCCACAACCATTTGGGCCAGGCCAAAGCCAGGAGCCAGGAGCTTCCTCTGAGTCTCCCAGGTTGGTGCAGGGGCCCCAGTACTTGGGCCACCCTCTGCTGCTTTCCCAGGTCCATTTAGCAGGAAGGTGGATCAGCTGGGACTAGAACTGGCACACATATGATATGCTACCTGCTGCGCCACAGCACCAGCCCCAACACAGATTTCTTAACTGCGAGGCTAAGCATCCCCCACCCCTCTGTTAAGTATATTTTATTTTCGAGCCTGAGAGAGTATGTGTGTTCATCTTTTTAAGGAACTGCCAGATTGTTTGCTACAGCAGCTGCATCATTTTCCATTGTCACAAATATAATTTTGAAATAATCTTTTTACTCTAAGGATAATGAAGACTTGAGAGTGAGTTGCCCAGTGCCTGCAGAGGATGAGCAGACAGACTGCACTTCTGCCCAGCAGCTTAGTATGAATCCTAGTCCTCCAAGTACAGCTGAGCCTCCTGTGTTAAGGTATAAGTTTCCATTTAGAAGATCTTCCATACCAAATCACTTTTTTTCTGATTAGTTGTTCAGCTGTTCCTATGTGCTATACTAAGTCTAAAGTCATTCTTTTTTTTTTTTTTTTCCCTTAGCACTACTCAGCAAGAAAAGGATCTAATAGAAGACTCCACTGTTCAGAAGGATGTTGTCAACCAGACGAATATACCAGGTTCTTCCCCAAGTACTGCAAAGCCATCCAGGGCAAATACTTCTTCACCTTGTAGCAGTAACATAAATTCAGCTGTCACTGTGGCTCTACAGGTAACTTGGAAGATTTTATATGGGGGGAAAATAAATATATGTAAAGTTTATGTGAATATATTAGAAATAGATGAATTAGTAAAAAAAAATTTTCTTACATGACATTGTGCTAGGTTTTTTGGTTTTTTTTTGTTTTTGTTTTTGTTTTTTTAATTTTTTTTATTTGAAAGGCAGAGATACAGAGAGAGAGGGAAAGAAAGATTTTCCATCCATCAATTCACTCCCCAGGGTGCTGCAACAGCCAGGGCAGGCTAAGACAAAACCAGGAGCCAGGAAGCAGGATCTTCTTCTAGGACTCCCATGTGGGTGACAGGTGCCCAAAGACTTGGATCATCTGCTTCTTTCCCATGTGTATTAGCAGGGAGCTGGATCGGAAGTGGAGCAGCCAGGACTCCAACCAGCACCCATATGGGATGCTGGCACTGCAGATGGCAGCTTAACCCCTGGCACAGCGCTGGCCTGTGCTGGTTCATTTATATGGAAGTAGCCCAAATAAGGCTACTTGCAGTAGAAAGACACTAAAGTTTCAGTCACTGCAAGAACATGGGACGTTTTAGTGTGTTTCTCTCTCTCTTTTTTTTTTTTTCCCCTGGTTATCTTATGGTAAGTGAAGAGTCTTTCTTATCTAGGTTATGATGAATTTATCATTTTTGAACTAGTATGAAGAGACTTCAAGCTTCTTCAGATTCTTTTTGCTACATGTATGACACTTAGCAAACCTTTGAAACCTATTAGTGGCCTCACCCACTAGTATTCAAGTTCCAGTATTTCATAATTTTATCGTTGAGAAAACACAGGATTAAAAATGCACAAAATTTACCTGTAATACTTTGATTTGATTATGTAAATAGTTGCATTTTACTATAACTGTTTATAGGTTCAGAACATTTTGTCTTCTATAGTAATGCCAGTTGGTAATGGAATAGCAGCTATCGTTTGAATGTCAATTGTATGCTGGGACCATTGTTAAAGACTTTATATGCTTTTTTCTTTACTCAAACCCTTTTTACTTATTTTTTCAATTGAGTTAGCTAGGACTTTTGTTTACTCTTCTGTTAATATTTAATTGGTTTCCAACTGCCCTTCAGAGATTCTTATGTATTCCCTTCCAGGATTTATAACAAAGGAGGAGAAAATGGAACTATTATTTCTTCATATGGATAGACCACTATTAATTTAATCTGTTCTTCCTTGTTATGCATTTAGGTTGTTTCCCGTTCTTTAATTACTATAAACAATGCTGACATTAATATCCTTCAGATAAATTCCTTCAGTAAAAATAATGTATCATAAATAAGTTGGTTTTGTTATTTTCAAAAATGTGTTATTTAAAAGATTCCACCAGCACACTCTGAGAGCTGTGTACATTGAGAGTGCCTGTGCCCTTTACTGGAAGATAACCTGGGCTTTTCTTGTGGTTACATGATTGTTTTATACTTTTTTATTTCAAGAATGTATAACATAAGTTTTTTTAATTGCTTCAAAGGAACCCCGAAAATTAAGTTATGCTGAAGTGTGCCAGAAGCCCCCTAAAGAGCCATCTCCAGTTCTTGTGCAGCCACTACGGGAACTTCGCTCCAATGTGGTGTCTCCCACCAAAAATGAAGAGAATGGAGCTCCTGAGAAGTCTGTTGAGAAAGCACATGAAAAACCAGAAGCGAGGGCTAGTAAGGATTATTCTGGCTTCCGAGGCAATGCCATTCCCAGGGGAACAGCTGGAAAAATCAGGGAACAGAGACGCCAGTTTAGCCATAGGGCTATACCTCAGGGAGTGACTCGACGTAATGGTAAAGAGCAATATGTGCCACCCAGATCACCAAAGTAAAAAAAAAAAGAAACAAGACAAAAAAACAAGAAACTATTTGGAAACTTCTCTCTCTTCCCATTAAACTTGAGCCGGATATTTTGAACTGTTTTGGAGGGGAGCGGGGAGACAAGAAGGAAACAAGAGAAAGAATGTCCTTAAATCATTGTGGATTTTGGAGTTGTGAGCAGTAGAATCCCAAAATTCATCTCTAAAATGATTTTAAAATGCTGGAGGATTGCAATCAGTATAAATATAAATATATATATAGAGATAGATATATACGCATATAAAAATATAATTTTTCTATTTTTGTTTTTGATTTTAATTTGCAGAGATTTTCTGCCTGGAATCAATTTTGAGGGTTCAGATTTAGCTTGGAAAAAAAAAAAACATTGTACATCCTTCGGTATAGGAGTTGAGGGAGTGAGAGAAAATATTTTTTGAAGACGTGTTTCTGTAAAATTAGAAATTACTTTTTTTAATCTATTTAAAGTTTGGCTTGAAGAATGCCATCTCTGACTCTATGGCCTTGTGTTGCAAAGCAGATCAGTGGCTGGGGTGCCTGTTGTGGGTGTGAGTGTGTGCAAGATTGATTTAAGCCAAATCTGTTGTCATGTTCATAAATGATTTGAAAACTGAATGTAATACTTGAGTAGATTTTTTAGTTTGAAAATTTAGTTTGTCTTTTTGACCTTACTAATATTTCTTTCAACAAGTTGTTAAGCTCTGATTGTACTTGGAGATGTGACTACCAATCAGTTTGATACTCAAGGAAAGAGTGGGGATTATTTTAAAATTGAAAATTTCATCTTTGATCTGAGTGGACGTGTCAGGTGGACTGAAGACATTTGAACTGTTCTGTGGTTTTTCTTTTCCTCTTAAAATGAGAAAAAAATTGTTATTCTGTATTCTTTGCCTACCCCCAAAAAGAAAATAACCAACCACTTACTGAATTGTATGTTTCTATCTACTTTGACCAGTCTAGTCAAATCATATAACTGTTATACATTTCAGAATTCCATGTTGAAGTATTTTACTCTTCTGTTCACATATTTAGAATTTTAGGTTCTAGAGTGATAAGGGCAGATTGACCCTACAGTAATTTATTTGTGTTAGTGTTAAAGATGAAAGAAGCATTATAACTGACTTTTCAAAGTGTTAAATAGTGTAGTAGAAGAGAATTTTTTTAAAAGGCTTAATTTGAGGAGAACTTTTTTCTGTTTACACTCTATTTGCCACCTTCTTTCCCTCCCCCTAAACACACACACACACACACACACACACAATTTGGAATTCACTCAGGCAGAACATGCAAGTCATGAAATTTTTGAGTTAAGATAAGAAAGGTGGTTGAGCAAAATTAATGCATAATTCTCAGACAATAAAGTTGTAGCTCTCAGATAGGCAAGTTTACATGCTGGTATATAGAAAATAGCTAAAATATTAAAAACCATGTTGCATTAATCTGTTTTAAGTCACACCATGTTCAGAGTTCTATGTAAGATGGAATTTTGTTTTTCATTTTAGGGGATAGTTTGGAATAGTAGTAACTATCTCTTAGTGAGTTACATATGTACAAATGGAAACTGTAAATTGTGAACACTGGAAAGCACCATTGTGACATAGCATAACCATCTTAGTAATATATTAATGAATGTAAATGGAGGTTAAAATTACGTTACTGTGAAACTCCTCTTCCAGCTCTATGCTTTGGAGATCTGTATTAATGGGTAACTAACTGTTAAGAGCTTTGAAAACACTGCACATTTCTTTACAGGCTAGAATTTTTATTTCTTTGTAACTTATTCAGCTTGGCAATTGCTTTTGATTTGGTGGGTTGATAACATGGTATAATATATTTACAAAGTTTGAAACTATTCATTTCTATACACTATTTGTTTTTAATCATCTACTAAATGAAACATACAATACTACCTGTGCTGAAATTTGGGGGAAGTTTAGGTCCTTTAAAAAAAAGCTATTATTAATCATTGATTACACCTATGAAAAAAGTGCTTATTTTGGTTTACTTAGATAATGCTGCGATTGGTGGAAATGATAAACATTAGAAGTGTTAACACCCTGTGAATGCATTGGATTTAAGAGAATAAACTTTTTTTAAACTTCACTTGGCAAGGATTATAAACTTAATTATTGCACTTAAAATGAAACATTACTTTTTTTTGTACAGTGTGTCAGAGGTGTAGAATTATTACTTGTATGCTTGTGTGACTTATATGTAGTCCACAAACTCCTAAAAATCTAAAGGTTCTAACTGAAACACAAGGAAAAAAAGTCTTCTTTTTGAAGAAAGAAAGTATATTCTTGCTTTTCCTCTGAAAGTTATTAAAAGTAGGAATTTTAAAGACATGACCATTTTTAAATTTCTTATAAAATATAGTATTTTTAATTTAATTTGCCTCTTTACATCTAATAGTTCCCATTTGATGGGGTATATAGGGAAGAATGTGAGTGTGTGTGTGTGTGTGTGTATGTGCGCATTATATATGTATATATATATTCACAGTATGTATTTAGCATTTATTTTATTACAGCAGATTCAAGGTTTGTGTCTAAATGATGCCTGAGAGATGTTGGCTTTTTTTCCAGCATTACTCTAACTGATGAAGGGTGAGTGTTTGTTGTAGTTCAGCTATTTATTTGATTGTTTAGATGGAGGGATTTAAATATATTTTTCTCTTCACCCTTATGACTTAACATTTCCTTGGGCTGTTGAAAGCTAAAAGTAGGTAGAGATGATACTGATTGTATGGTACAGTGATCTGCCATGGTTGTTACCACATGAAGAGAACAAGAGTCATACAAGTTCATCACCTTGCACTTCACAGACAAGGTCCATGGAGACATTGCAAAGATATGTCTCTCTTTTCTGTCCTGATAATTGAAGTTTTCCTGATATCTAGGACCTGTCTTTAATCTGACTTTATGTTATTTTTGCCAGATATAGACAATGGAATTTAAAATAATGATCCATCTAAATTTATTTCAACTTGATCTTGGAGGAAGATAAGAGCTTTCTGCGATAATGGGTTTGTTACCATCTTATGTACTTGATTTGCAAGAGATCAAATGACATACAGAATTCTGATTTATTTTTGGTTCCTAAAATTAAGGTAGCTTGAATATTGTTTCACATTCCCTTTTCTTTTTAAATAACCAGGTATGCTTTGCAAAAGGCTTAATGATGGAATGTTAGCATCTCACTGGTTTAAAAGAGAACAAGGAAAATGCTGCTGGGACAGAAAGCAGTTTTTAAAAATTTCTCCACACTTTCTTCTAGTTTTATTAGTTATGGCCTTAATAATTAGTCAATAATTGGCTTAAATGTCCACTGGTTTTACTTTGACATAGTTGAACAACACTGGGGTTAAGTCTCTGGTATTTGTGTTAGCAATATATATTAAGCATATTTTAAAAGTACCTGTTTTTGGTTTTTTTTTTTTTTTTTAACAGATAAAATTCAAAAGAGGACAGACAGTATTCCTTTTGAGGGGGTTTTATAAATTCTTAACTATAGTATACAATGGAGTTTTTTTCCTATTTTTTGTATTTCCTTAAGATTTGGAGGCCATTAATTTAACTTTCTGCTTCTTGACATATGCTAATGTGTCTAGTCTGAGCTTTCAAGACATTTCAATTTTCATTAACTGAATGAGGCCATTTTAAGAAGTTGAAAGAAAATTTGTTTTGAAGTTAGAACAAATTCTCTTTGAAAACACATGATTATTAAGTAACTTAAAGTTTATTTTTAAAAGCTGCAAACTTTTTATGAATCTTTGAGTAGACCGTTTCTAAAAGTGTGTGTTAAATGGTTTAATTTTCAGTTTTGCAGCACAAAACACTGGTAGTATACTTAAAGAAATAACCACATCAAAGGATTTTTGTTGTTTTAAACTGATTCAGGTGTCCCTTGAGTGATATCTCTTAAATGTTGGGGCCGGGGTGGGGGGTGGAGATCAGAACCAGTTATCTGGCTTCTATGTTGTCCATTGCTTAGGTTTGTTCCTGTTGTCAAAACTACCCCCACCCCCCACTCCAAATGGTGTGACACATGCTCATGCATAAAATGTTAAACTGAGTACATCCTTGTATTTGTATTTGTTTTCAACATTGCCAAGGTGCTATGGGAAATTCAAGTAACAAAATTAGAAAAAAATAAAATTATTAAAAGCAGGACTGGTTTCCTTTTCTCCAAGTGGTGTATGACTGAAAATGTACCTCTGTTGATTTTGCAGTAATTGTCTGTGTTGCCCTCTCTCAGTTCCATCATTATTCTGGTCTCAGGTGGTGGTTTGTGGGCATGAGTGTGGAGCAGTGGCCAAGTGTGGTTTTTTATCATTAAAACAAGGCAGCAAACTGGAAATGGCTTTATGATTCTAGAGTTTTCCTTTAGTTACTGTCAGGGGCCCAGTTATTGAAGGAGGTGGGGGAGAATCGCACAAAGTGCAGCTTAAGGATTTTGTCTTTGTAGGGCAAATTGTGGCCGGATTTGAATATGTGACCATCAAACTCAGCCAGATTTTTGGAGACTTCAAAGGGGAAGTACTTGGGAATTTAAATAATTCTTTATTATTATTATTATTATTACTTGAAAATCTAAGGCAAAAATAGAAGAGCTGTGTCAATCCCTGACTTTTTAATGACTGTTAAGCTGTATATTCTTGTGAATATAGCATATTGCCAAAAAACATTGCAGTGGCATTTTATGGTTATTATTACACGACAGTTTATCCTTGAATTATCTTGTTAAACATGAACTTTTTTTATGGTTGAGATCTAGTTTTTTACAATACAGCTTAATTCAAAATTACATTTTCTAATTCTCAAAAATATTTAGTATCCTACCAAGTTAATATGACATGGATATGTTTGTAAATGATAGATATTTTAATAGGTTTAATGTGAACATTCATGTTGGTAATTACTTAGCCCATTAAATGGAATTTCCATTCAGTTAAACCCTTAATTTGCTAATGAAGAGTTATTTAATGAAAATGACTAATGTTAGCAAAATGATCCTTCTAATGAAAGGTTTACAGCGGGTTAGGTACTAGCCAAGCCTTAAGGGCCTTACTTCAGTGTGTTTACTTGGGCAAAAGAAATTCATAACAAATTTCTTTATCATATCAGGAGCGTAGTATAATTGGGTATTTTTAGCAGATTGAAAACTAATCTCGGGCACATAGGCTTTTGAGTTGTATTTAAAATGAAAGAATTTGTCGGGAGTTTCATTACAGATACCTTTTGTTTCACTATACTAATTGTTAGAAAATATTAACCTGGGATGGGTGTTGGGCCTAGTAGTAGGATGCCATTTGGGACTCTCATATCCTATATCAGAATGCCAGGATTCAAGCCCCAGCGCCCCTCATGATTTCAGCTTCTTCCTAATGTACACTCTGAGAGACAGCAGGGGGTGGTTAAGTCCCTATGCCACTCACAAAGGAAACCCAAATTGAGTTTCTTAAGCTTGACCCAGCCCCAGCTGTGGCAGGCATTTGCAGAGTGGACCAGTAGTAGAAAAGAGCCTATCTCTGCTTTCAACCAATAAAATATTTACCCAAATGTACCAAGTTTTAATTTTATTTACTTACTTGAAAGAGCCCACATCCATTGGTTCATTCCCCAGATGAACACCATGGCTAAGGCAGAAGCTGCTAGTCTTCGGCCAGCAGCCGGGTATGCTACCCAGATCTCCCACACAGGTAGCAGGAATCCAATTGCTTGAGCCATCACAAACTGCCTCCTAGGGCAGCATAACAAGAAGCTGGGTTCAGGAGCCAGAATTGGACGGATCCAGGCATGCTGTAAAGAGGCAAGCGTCTTAACCACTGAACCTCAGCTCCTTTGGAGTTTAGAATTGGGAATTTGCTTAAAGGTATGAAGGGTGTCTGCAGATAGCAGGTTTGAAAGAACTGGTTTTTTGTTTTTGTTTTTGTTTTTTTTTAATTTTATTTTATACCATTCCCAAATAAGGACTCCCAGTTTCTTCTGGTCTTGTGGGAAGAACCAAGCTACATCAGCTCTTTTTTAAAGTTCATTTTTTTTTTTTGGTAGCTTTTCTTCGAAGGTGCTACACTTTTCTCCTTGTCATTGTGCACCTGCTGTGTCTGACTTCATGAACCATAGTAGGATTCCAGCCTCAATATTGGCAGTTACTTTTACAACACATGTTTTCAGTGATGGCATCTAACTTCTCATTTTTCTACTTCACATTCCAAATTCCACCTCAACCACTCACTGTCTTCTTGACTTGACACAACTGAGAGCATTGACTTAGCATTGGAGCTAAGCCTGATGGGGTATTCATTCAACCATTATTTATTGTGTTGTATGTTCCAGAGAGTGTGCTGGGCAGCAAAGATTTCTGTCTTTAGGGTGCTTGGCTTAAAAAGTCATAAAACAGTCTTGTAAGAAAGCTGGAATTGACTGATCCTGTGCAGTGGTGTGAGGGGTGGTGCAGGGATGGAAGGAGTGGGGGCTGCTTAGACAGCAGAAGGAAGGTGTTTTGGATGAGGGAGCAGCCCATACTGCACTATCGTGCAGTGGAAGAATTGTAGTGCCCTGCAGCAATTGCATGAGGAACCCTGTTCTGCCTTCCAGAAAGGCTGGAGAAGTAAAAGCTGGATTCCTGGGATTTGAAGTGTGCATTACGGGAGACCAAGTGAATTATAGCTGATAATGATGCAACTGGGGCAAAGACTTGAACCATGTAGAAAGTGTCATCAGCGCAAGACATGTACCAGGCAATACACAAGGAAGGAAGCATCAGAGATGACTCCTGAGTTTGTCTTCTGGAACTGGATGGATGTTTGCACCATTCACCACAATTGATACATTAACAGAGAATCCTTTTGTGGAGAGGAAGAGATGAGTACAGTTTTGAGATGATTATGCTTGCTTGTTTTGCTAGGTTTTTTTTTTTTTTCTTAATCATGGCTAGATGAGGGAGGGGTGAACAACAACAAAAAACTGAAACCAAATTGCTTCATATCCATTAGTTCATATATAATATAGGTTGATTTTAACTAGATTGCATTTTCTTTGAGCTAATTTTAAAAGTGTCACAACTTGACTAGTTGTGTCGAGAAGTCATAAAACACACTTATAAACATGACTTGAAGGTTGTAGAATTTGCATTTCCATCTAATGCTTTCCTCCACCTTCCTGAATAAAAGTATAAGCTCCCCGTGGCCACAGCCAACTGTAACTTCTTCATGTATCCAAACAAGTAATTTAATCCGGCAGTTTACTCACACAAAGTTGGGTAACGGCAGATACCCTCAAAGTTTCCAGATGTAAACTTGTAAAATTTTTTAGTTGTATCTTACCACTCTTATTTTCTTGTGAATATATGGCTATTTGTATAACAAGTCATTTTTCATCAGTAGTTAACCTTTAGAAAATGCCTAAGTACTAACTCTCTATGACTGTAGTTGTTCCATTTATGACCATTTTGGTCTAAAACCATCTATAAACCAAGCACTATACTAGGTGCACAGAATGCTAAAATTACAAGTTCCTATGCTTAATTTTAGAGCCAAGCATTGTAAGCCCAAATACTGCTATCAAATGGTGTGAATGCTTGAAAGCACTAGGATACTCAGGAAAGAGTGGGCAGCCCTCCAGGTAGCAAAGGGATCAACTTTCAAGTTGACTCTTGATCAGATGTCTATTCACTGGATAGTCAAAAGAAGTGTGAGGTTAGGCTGCCTCTTCCAACACCGCCATCCTGTATCAGAGGTCCCATTCAGATCCCAGCTGCTCCACTTCCAATCCAGCTTCCTGCTAGTGCACCTGGGAGAGCAGTGGAAGATGGCCCAAGTGCCTGGGCACCATCACCCTTGTGGGAAACCTGGATAGAGTGAAGGCAAGGAAGCATAATAAGTGGGAGACTCAGCATAATAGTTTGGGGTGGGTGGAGCATGGATTTCAATGAAGTGTGGCAATGTGATAAGATTTAAGACCAAAAAAAAAAAAGATTCATTTATTCCATCTGCAACAGCAGGAGCTGTGCTAATAAGCCAGAAATCAGGAGCTTCCTCTTGGTCTCCCCCATGGATGCAGGGGCCCAGTCACTTGGGTCATCATCTACTGCTTTCCCAGACCATAGCAGATAGCTGGATGGGAAATGGAACATCCAGGACTAGAACCGGTGCCCATATGGGATGCTGGCACTGCAGGTGGCAGGCAGCTTTACCCCACTACATGACAGCGCCGGCCCCAGTATATATTGTTTTAAAAAATACAAGCATCTAGAAAAGTATTAAAATGTACTAATGTAGTTTAGAATGACATGAACTTTGAGATGATAACTTACTTTTTTTTTTTTATTATTATTTGACAGGTAGAGTTATAGACAGAGACAGAAAGGTCTTCCTTCCGTTGGTTCACTCCCCAAATGGCCGCCACGGCTGGTGCTGTGCCATCCAAAGCCAGGAGCCAGGTGCTTCTCCTGGTCTCCCATGCGGGTGCAGGGCCCAAGCACTTGGGCCATTCTCCACTGCCTTCCCGGGCCACAGCAGAGAGCTGGACTGGAAGAGGAGCAACCGAGACTAGAACCCGGAGCCCATATGGGATACCAGCGCTGCAGGCAGAGGATTAACCAAGTGAGCCACGGCGCCATCCCCAATAGATAACTTTTAATTAGCCATCTTTGGGGAAGGAGGGAGGGAGGCAGGTGACAACCATGAAGAATGTATTTATAGTGACTTTAAAGCAGAAATGGCTTAAAGTTGCTATTTGTGAAACCTAAGTGGTGGCATAGGTACACAGGCATAATTCTCTACACTTGGAAATGTTTTCAAATGAAAACAATTTTTAAAAATAGGGGACTCTGGTTTCTGGTTTGGCATGTAAAAACCTTAGGAGTTACCCATTCTATCCTAAAACTGAACAACCAGGATCTTCTTGTAACCACGTAAGAGAAGTGAGATCACAGGCCAAGGCACTGCTCCCCAAACTGGAGACACAGACAAATTTAGAGAATTGCAACTTAGTGAAACAGAAACTCACCAACAGAAACTACCAGAGCAGTCAATGCTGAGGTAAGGAAACGTACTTACTGGAAGGTCAGTGTGGACAAGTCTGAGATGAAAACTCATTAAAAATAAAAAACCAGGGGACCTAGTCATGTGGGGCCCCTACTATAGTTTTACTTCCCCATGCCCTGATATTAGGAGGAAAATGCCCTTCTGCTTCTGGGACACAGGGTGGGCTGGTAAAAAAACATTTTGAGATATGCCTGAGAATCCTGTTAACAAGTTCTATCCTTAGGAAGCAGGATTTAAAGAGAGCCTAACTTGGATTTTCCATCACAGCTTAACTGACCTGGGCGCAGGAAAGTGCACTCCAGCTAGCTCTAGTACCCCCGTGGACAGAAAGTCATAGCCCAACTCCAGCCACCTCTAACCTGCCACTTAGAAATGGCCAGGGGACAGCAAGCCGCCCCCTGTGGTGCAAGCATCTTATATGAGTGCCAGTTCTAGCCCTGGCTGTTCCACTTCTGATCCAGCTCCCTGCTAATGGGCCTGGGAAAGCACCCACGTGGGAGACCTGGATAAAGCTCCTGGCTTCTGGCTTTGGCCTGGCCCAGTCCAGGCCGTTGGTGGCCATCTGGGGAGTGAACCATTGCATAGAAGATACCTCTCTTTGTCTCTCCTTCTCTCTTTCAAATAAATATTTTTTTTTTTTTTTGACAGGCAGAGTGGACAGTGAGAGAGAGAGACAGAGAGAGAAAGGTCTTCCTTTGCCGTTGGTTCACCCTCCAATGGCCGCCGCTGCAGCCGGCGCACCGCGCTGATCCGATGGCAGGAGCCAGGATCCAGGTGCTTTTCCTGGTCTCCCATGGGGTGCAGGGCCCAAGCACCTGGGCCATCCTCCACTGCACTCCCGGGCCACAGCAGAGAGCTGGCCTGGAAGAGGGGCAACCGGGACAGAATCCGGCACCCCGACCGGGACTAGAACCCGGTGTGCCGGCGCCGCAAGGTGGAGGATTAGCCTATTGAGCCACGGCGCCGGCCTCAAATAAATCTTTAAAAAAATAATTGTAGCAATCCTAGTCTACCTAGAGAGGGCAGAAACTGAGAAGCATTTGTGAAGTTCATAGTCTGGATGGGTACACAGTCTCAGTAAATAACAGTCTGCCCCCCCCCCCCCCGCCCCGCACCACAGTATTAAAAGCCTGCTTACAGATGTTCCTTTTACATAGTAAACCATATCCCACTATCGTGGGGAAAAAAAAAAAGTACAGGGCATACTGAAAGGGAAAACAGCTTGAAAGGACAAAACAAGCATAAGAACCAGACGGATATGGGAGGGGTAGAAATTAGAAAGATAAATCATTAATCTGATAAGGGCCTTAATGAACAAAGTAAGTAGTATGCAAAAACAGGTAGGCAATATAAGCAAAAAGAAGTTCTGTGAATCAAAAACAAGTATTAGGGATCCCTATGAGTACCTGTTTTCTTTTTTTTTATTTGACAAAGAGAGAGAGAGAGAAAGGTCTTCACTCCCCAAATGGCCGCAACGGCTGGAGCTGCGCTGATCCAAAGCCAGGAGCCAAGTGCTTTCTCCTGGTCTCCCATGCGGGTGCAGAGCCCAAGCACTTGGGCCATCCTCCACTGCCTTCCCGGGCCACAGCAGAGAGCTGGACTGGAAGAGGAGCAACCTGGACTAGAACCCAGCGCCCATATGGGATGCCGGCACTGCAGGCAGATTAACCAAGTGAGCCACGGCACTGGCCCTGAGCACCTGTTCTGAGTCCCTTCTGCTCCACTTCTAATTCAGCTCCCTATTAATATGAATAGGAAAGCACTAGCAACTGGCCCAAGTACTTGAGCTGCTTCCACTCAAGTGGGAGACCTGGATGGACTTCTAGACCCATGGCTTCAGCATGGCTCAGCTGTTGCCTTTGCAGCCATGTGGGGGAGTGAATCAGTAGATGGAAGATCTATCTCTCCCTCTCCCTAATTCTACTTTTCAAATACATCTTTAAAAAAATAAATTTTTAAAAAACTATATTTAAAAATATATGTATATTATTTATTTGAAAGTCAGAGTTACACACACACAGAAAGAGAAAAAGAGAGAGAGAGAGGTCTTCCATCCACTGGTTCACTCCTCAATTGGCTGCAACAGCCGGAGCTACACTGATTCGGAGCCAGGAGCCAGGAGCTTCTTCCGGGTCTCCCACGCAGGTGCAGGGGGCCCAAGGACTTGGACCATCTTCTGCTTTCCCAGCCATAGCAGAGATATGGATCGGAAGAGGAGCAGCGGGGACTCGAACTGGCATCCATATGGGCGGCTTTTACCCACTATGCCACAGCGCCAGCCCCATAAAAACCCTGTATCTTTAAAAAAAGATTGACTCAGTGAATTACCAACCTTCCTGTCTGAGTCTATTTGAACTATTTTAACAAAGTATCATAAGCAAATGAGCTCACAAACAGAAATGTGTTTCTCAGGGGTCTGAAGCTAAGGGCCCAAGGTCAGGGTCCTGGCAAATTCAGTATCTGGTGAGGCCTCACTCCTAGTTCATAGGTGGCACCTTCCTGCCATGTTCATACGTAGTAGAAGCAGCAAACAAGTTCTCTGAGATCTGTCTCTTTAATGAGGGCAGAGCTCTAGTCATCTCTGAAATCTTCCTTCTCCTACGACCTCCACCTTGGGAGCTGGGACTTCAACATATGAACTTGGGGAGACACAAACACTTAGGTCATACCACTCCCAAGCCAGGAGGTATGAGACCCAGATGGATTTACTGTTGAATTTAATCAATTAAACCAAAGAGGAAGTTATACCAATTAATCTATAATTTATTTCAGAAAATAAAAGCAGAGGGAGTACTTCTAAGCTCATCCTATGAGACCAGCATCAGCCTAATTCTAAAACCAAAGACATTATAAGAAGACTGCAGATCAACTTTTCTCATCAACATAGGTGTACAAATCCTCAACAAAATATTAGCAAATCAAATCAACAGGTGCCGACGCTGTGGCATAGTGGGTAAAGCTGCCGCCTGTGGTGCTGGCATCCCATATGGGCACTGGTTCGAGTCCTGGCTGCTCCACTTCCAATCCAGCTCTCTGCTAGGGCCTGGGAAAGCAGTGGAAGATGGCCCAAGTCCTTGGGCCCCTGCACCCACATGGGAGACCCGGAGGAAGCTTCTGGCTCCTGGCTTCGGATCGGCACAGCTCCAGCCATTGTGGCCAAATGGGGAGTGAACCAGTGGACAGAAGACTTCTCTCTCTCTTTCTCTCTTCCTCTCCTTCTCTCTCTCTGTAACTCTTTCAAATAAATATTTTTTAAAAAGGAAAAGAATAACACAAAAAATATTATACTCAGTACACATAACTGAATCAAAGAGTTTAAGAAGAGGGGCTGGCACTGTGGCTCAACAGGTTAAACCACTGCTGTGACACTGACATCTCAAATCGGAGCACTGGTTTGAGTTCTGACTGCTCCACTTTATGTCTGTCTCCCTATTACTGTGCCCAGGGGAAGCCAGCAGAAGGTGGCCCAAGTACTTGGGTCCCTGCCACCAATGTGGGAGACTTAGAAGGAGATCTAGGCTCTGGCTTGGATCTGGCCCAGCCCCTGCCATTGAAGCCATTTTGGGAATGAAACATTGGAAAGAAGATCTCTCTCTCTGTCTCCCTGCCTTTCAAACAAATAAATAAATATTTGTTTTGAAAAGAATCGTAGAGGCTGCCTGGCCCTCTAACACCTGGCCTTGGTAAGTCACACAGTGTCACTCTGCCACATTCCAGGGGTCAAAGCACTCACAAGTTCCTCCACGGTTAGGGGAGAACTGCTGGAAGCAGCATCAGTGAATCTGTAGCCTTTTCTTTCATTTAGAGAGATTTATTTATTTATTTGAAAGGCAGAGTTACAGAGAGGCAGAGGCAGAGAGAAGAGAGAGGTCTTCCTTCCGCTGGTTCACTCCCCAACTGGCCACAACGGCCAGAACTGCGTCGATCCCAAGCCAGGAGCCAGGAGCTTCTTCCAGGTCTCCCAGATGGGTGCAGGGTCCAAGGACTTGGGCCATCTTCTACTGCTTTCCCAGGCCACAGCAGAGAGCTGGATCAGAAGTGGAGCAGCCAGGATTCGAAGTGGCACCCATATAGGAAGCTGGCACTGCATCCTAGGTGGCGGCTTTACCCACTATGCCACAGCACCAGCTGCAGCCCTTTAACAAAATGCCTGAGTCCTCGTGTAAACCAGAGGTCACAGATATACAAGTTCTCACAGATTTCCCAACAAGGTGCAGGGAACAAATTTCAAAGACTACTAATCAACCAGCTGTGATAGTGTACCCTTTTTTCAAATTGAAGTTCTTTCTTCAACTTTTTTTAATAAAAATAATTTTATTTGAAAGTCAGAGAGAGAGAGAGAGAGAGAGAGAGAGATGAACTCCCATCTGCTGGTTAAGTCCTCAAATGCCCCAAAACAGAAAGGGCTGGGCCAGGCCAAAGCCAGGAGCCAGGAAATCAATCCAGGCCTCCTTCCTGGATGGCGCAGACCCAAGTCCTTGCGCCTTCGATGGTTACCTCCTCCCTTCTTGCTCATTGGCAGGAAGCAGGAATTGGAAACACAGCCCGGTCTTGGATCCAGGCACTTGATTATGGGATGTGAGCCTCTCAGCTACTAGCCCACGTGCCTGCCCCAGCTGGTTTATTTTTTAGTTTTCCTTCCAGTCCGTGAATGAAATAAACTATTATTTAGAAATTCCTAATGAATAGGGTTGAGGCCTGGTCTCTGTCTGGATCAGTATTGGAAGGAAATGAAAACACCAGAATCTTCCAGACTGTGGGGAGGAGGGGAGTCAAACATCTTCATGACAAAAACTTGCAATACTATGAAAGAATGTGACTGACAGCTCAAAGCTTCTGGCCGCTGGGAGCCTTCTCTCGCGATTTCGTAGCAGGCAGACACTCCACGTCCACGCTGCGCTAAATCCAAGCATCCACCAGCGAACCTGTTTCGCTAGAGAACCCGGGATGGATGGCCGCCTCGAGCGCGCCATTTCCAGAGATGCCCAGCAGAGGGCGCCTTGAGCCCGCCCGTCCGCGGCCGAGCCGGGCTGCGGAAGAGGCGCGTGCTCCGGCGGGGGGGCGGGGCTGCCACGCTCACGTGACCCTTGCTCATGGCGGCGGCGCTGGCGGCAGCGCTGGCGGCGCTCGGCGGCCGGAGCCGGATCCTGTAAGCCGGGTGTGGGCCCGCGTCAGTCCGTCCCTCCTTTCGGCCTCCTCCTCTCTTCGTCTTCCGGAGTGTGTGCGGCTGGCGGAGCCGGGATGGCGGAGCGAGGCCTGGAGCCATCGAAGGTGGCGGGGCCCCCGTTGCCGGTCCACGAGGGTCCGCATTTGACACAACTACACCAAAGACTTCGAGGTTTAAGAATCAAAGCTCAATGAGCAGTGCCTACGGGATGAGTAATCAAAGTATACACTACGTAATAGGTACAGTGAGTACCAAAAAAGAACTTTTTTCGTTAAAGAGTTCCAAAATCTATTTGGAGCAGGTCCCAGAGGGTCCGGATCCATTAGATCACCAATTCTTTTTTTAGACT